AATTCTTGCATATGCAACTTACCTTGAACGCCTTTTCATAGTCTCTGTTGAAATGGAAAAACCGCGCAAGAATGTAACAAGCTTCGGCCTTGATTTCGTCACTTTCCGTCATACTCATTGCATGCCACGCTAACCGTTCAACCTTGTTCATTTCCTGAAAAAGCGATGCCTTCAGATAAAGCGATAAACACCTCGATGTAACAGCTTGGACAAATTTAAAAGGTCCCTTTTATAGATAATTCGTAATTAATTCAAAGAATTTCTGCACTGACTCCTTTGAAGAAGAAGTGGTTGGCAAGATGGACCAAGACAACCGGATTCTCCGGCTCCAGACTATACGCTTGGCCTAGACAAGCCACTGCACTTTGGGCTCGACAGTATGCGTATTGTAATCCAAAATGGCAAGTGCTGAGAGAGCACAAACATTGTCATTTTGCAATTCCAACGCTTGTTCAAAAGCGATTCTGCAAATTGTAATTGAAAGTCACATAAACAGTAAAGAAGAAGCTAGGTGACTCAAACATTTCACATTTACATGCTTACCTAGCCTTATCAGTCCCTAATCTCGCTAAGCAATACTGGAAGCAATGTGATGTGACTAAGCAACAGTAACAGTCACAATGCTTCAGTAACAGTCACAAAACTTCAACATCGTTTGGAGTTGCCTCCAAGACTTTTGTCAACATATCTCTTGCCTTGTCCTATCTTTCAAGCCAGAAACGATATAGTGAGGATCTGCAACGTCTGATGAAAAGTCGATCGACTTGGTAAGCATACGTACGAGAGAGATAGTGTGGACCCCGGCCAGCTTCAGGTACTAGCGCGGCGCACACGCAACGCGCGCCCGACTTGAACGCTTCTCATTTCACTTACGAACAAAAAAGCATTATAACCGAAAACAGGAGTGAAATGAGATGTGGAGGCCTCTAATCCGAACACGAGAAAAGCCAAGGCAATAGGAGAACCTTCACAACTTCTACTACTAGCGCTCAGATTCCAGTCAATCTCATAAATAACTGGAATCTTCTATTATCCATCGCTAGTAGTGTATGACACTACCAGCGATGGATGATAGAAGTAACAGGAAAAGTCGAAGAACAATTCTGAAAAGTCTTCCTTCTGTTCATAAAAAAACCCAGAAAGTTTGAGCTCAAGAGCACGATTGCAAAGCTCTGATGGTGTAACAAAAGGCTAGAAGCATCTACACTCCACAAAATCAACTGCATATACACTTATTCTGAACATTTGGAGAGATGTCTCTGAACTACACCGAAATCTTCACTATTGAGAAAAAAACAAGATTTTCGAAACGAATGCTTGCAAGACTGTCAAGACTCGTAAAAATCCATCACCAGCAGTTGACGTGTGTCGTTTACATCTAAAGTAGAGATTACAGAAGAAAACAAACACACTTGAAAGAGGAAATTGAAAGAAATCCCTTCAGAGCCGAAACGAAAAGCGCACTGAAGGCATGCGCTGCGGGCGCGCCGCGGAGGTACCTATGGGAACTTGGCCGGGGTCCACACTATAGCAATAAACGGATTATTTAGACGATACTTTCATCACAACAACACTAGATAGTTGCGCAACTAACCTCATTGTTTCGAAAATCCAGAATTAATCACAAAAACCACTCCATCAATAGTCTACGATGTCTCAGCAAGTCGGAAAGAGCCAAACACTGAAAGTGATTGAGTGCAACCGCACGAAAATTTCAAACATAAACCTGAAAACGAGGAACTTACAGCAACATAAACGCCAACGCGACGAAGAGCAACGCGGAAAAGGAAAAAACGGTAAAGAAACGCGCAAAAACAACAGAATCAAATAAACGGCGACTAAAATATGGACAAAGAGCGTAAACAGAGGACTCATCACCGTGGAGTTAGACGTTTGCTTGCTACGCGCCAAATCGATACGCAGCCTGCTCCGGATACCTCCCATTTCTCCGGCGGATACCTCCCATCTTCTGCTCCGGATACCCCCCATTTTCTGCTCCGGATACCTCCCATTTTCTGCTCCGGATACCTCCCATTTTCTGCTCCGGATACCTCCCATTTCTGCTCCGGACCCCACCGATTTTCTCCGGCGCGTGTCTTCCAAATTTGGCGGACACGCGCCGCGCAGACCTCTGCGGCGCGGAGTCCGTCAAATCTGGCAGAGTCGCGCCGGAGAAATGGCGGACCTTTGCAGCAGGGCCGGAGAAGCCTCCCATTTGCCTGCCAGTGATGCCACCGCGATGGACCGCCCATTTGCCCTTCTCTCATTGGTCAACTGGGTCCGGCGCGACCCTGGCAGTTTCCGAGGGTCCGGCGGAGGGGTCCGATCGATTGTCTGAGCAACTAATACTGCTTCTGCGCCTGTAAAATTGCATCGTTCCAACTAAACGTGTTATAATTTTTGAGGGACTTCGACTTTTAACACATACATCATGCACTGATAGAAATCTTGAGCAAAAGTTTTTCTATCAAAACTTCTTCGCAAGCAGCATCAAACTTAGGCGTCTTTCTCAGAATTTTATAAATAGAAAAATCTTCCGCTACAAATTTGAACGGAACAGTGAACGAACGAAAACCTGCAAAACTAACGTCACGACATTTCCAAGGATCATTAGCAATGTTTAGCGGTGTGTCCAAAAACAGCTTTTCCGCAAAACATTTGACGTGCGAGAACGTTGAACGAGGAAGTAAAATGAACAAGACTTGATTTACAAAAAGATGAGACGTGAAGTCACGGAGACTGGTGCAGCCACATCACGCAATGCTTCCAATCTAGGAAAGAACACTTGCATCAGAAACTAGACAGATTGTCAATAACCAGCCTAGGAGAGCTTCTCTAAAAGGGACTTCAAAAAATATATATTTCTCCAAATGTTGATTATATATGTCCATAAATTACGTTGATGAACAATGTCGAGAAATTATAGCTTCATAGATAAACATAACAAATGCGATAAAAAGGTCCGAAACCATCTCGTTCTCCGCTCCCAGAATTATACAGAATTTGAAGAACATGGTTTATCTGGGTTCCATTGTTCAAAGTACTTGGTAAAATATGTAGATGGTTCGTGAATTCTAAGTTTTCCAAGACTAGGAACCCTGCAAATTCTGTAAATAAGCATCGAATAACTGGATAACGCCATGAATCCTCTTGTCTCAGAAAAACGGAAATTATCTATGGTTTGAAGAACAGCTGTGGAGAGATTCATATCACGATAATTTCGCTTTGTTTCCCTCATTACTGACAAATTCAAACGATCTATCTTTTCGAATAGGCCATTTCAAAGTCAATGGTTCAATTGTTTGAATAGGGAGTATAGATAGAATGAAAGGGGATGTAGATTTGATACCGAACTCGTATTCATCATTCGGTCTAATAAAAATAGTTCGCACAAATTTGTAAACGTAATTTGTGGACAAATGGACAATGCACAATACTACATATTCACTTTGCAGTCTGTGCAATTCTGGGCTGCTTTAGGGCATTGTTTCATAGCGTGGATCTCATTAAGTAGTGTAAGGTTTACTCTACCCACTCGTACTGCAACCCACATCAAAAACAGCGATGTCACGAAAGTGATTTGGGTTTGCAAGCCTTGGAGTGGTAAAGAACAGATACTACGCTGGGGAAGAAAAGCTGCGTGGGCATAATTTGAACACCGGTTGCTTCTCTGAGTAAATTGGAGGGTGGTCAAAACAAGTGAAAATCACATTCAATAATGCTTAGATGGCCTTCCCGGATGCATGATATTTCTTACGCCCCCCCCCCCCCGAGAATGGTCGCGAAATTTTTGAAATTTACTTACGTGGGTTATAAAAATGTGCAAGTGACCTGTTTATTCTTGTAACCGATTAAAATAATTTTTATTTTTAAAAATTCGAATTAGCCTTTTTCGGGGCGGGGCTGACGCCACGCCCTTTTTTTCCAAATTTTAGGGGTTGAGGACTCGTAAACATTTTGAGTAGCACCCCAAAATTTTTTCGGAGTGCTTGGTTGATGCCAGGCATCCTCATTCGGAAAAATTTTTTGCCGCCCCTCCCCCCCCCCCCCTCCACCTCCCCCGAAATCCTGTGTCCCCGCATATGTATTACTGATTCTATTTTGAATGAATTCAAATGCGAGGGGAGCGGGAAGGAGTATGGGGGGGGGGGTATATGTTGTCGAAACGAGGTGGTCCCACGCAAACATCTCCGACAAAGCACGCATGTGCCGACATTGTCGGCACTTCCTTACAGCCGTGCCATTCCCATTCCAGATTACCGTAAAGGTCATGCCATAAGCATGACCTGCTGTGATATGAGTGTGTTTATTGCCCAGATGAGCGTCAACTTACTTTGCTCCGCCTGTAATCGTCAGCATTCTACCACAGCACCCACGTGTGCTAGTCGACTGTTCATAAAGCTCTACAGCTAATGTGTTCTGTATAACACACATCACGGGGCGCTATTTCGCCTCAGGCTACTATAAAGCCTACGAACCACCGATACATTTGGTGCATCGGCTAAAACCAGACCGATACCATGCGCTCCCAAGGACAAAACAAAGGCCACAATGGAGCAATGATCACTCTGTATCGCCAAATGGAAGATGTGAAGATGTACGCCAAGAGACTAGCCGAACTACTACGAAAGTACGCGAGCCATGGTGAGACAATTATACTTCCAGACGATGAACAAGAGCGACAAAAAGTATGCATCGACAAACTGCGCGTACTACCAACCTGCATCTTCGACATCCTCCTGGGCTTACACTTGGTACGATCGAAAAGCGACGTGCTAAGGAAGCTGCACCAAAGCGAGAAGTGTAAACTTACAAAGCAACTGATGGCACAAGATTTGGATACATTCAACAAAGAGATAAGTCACTTCCAAATTGCTACTGATGCCCAGATGTTTATTGACACACTAGAAGAACGTGAAACTGATGCAAAAATAGAACTGGAAAACATAGGACTCAGGAAACATTTCTCCGCAATAAGATGTGAAAGTAGGAATGAGCAGATGTTGCCCAGAAATCAGACGGGCAGCAAAATTTTGGCAGAACTAGGCGCTATCTCAACCGATAAGCCAACGATGAAAGAAGCAATTTCAACAATTGAAGATGAAAACGAAAGTGACGAGGGCAAAGACGAAACTCCCAACTGCAAATTCTCGGCCTGTGGAGATCCCATGCATAACCTAACAGCATGTGAAGGTATTGCCACCCCAGCCCTGATACAGGTCACGAGGCCTAAGGCAACTGCTCGGAAGATTGTCGGCAAAAGACATTTACAACAACAGGACCTCAGCTGCACCGATATGGAGGAAACAAAGCTGGACCTCTATTGTGTTCGAACTGAAAACCTTAATGTGGATTTACTTCAGTATCAGCATCCAATTTCCACATCAACTTCTCCACAAGATCGTGCTCTCCACTGTACCACCTCTAGCATGGGCCATATTTTCACCTGTCTGCCAATTCGAGAACGTCCACTGCGATATCCCGACAAAGAAAGCAGTTCTGATATAGATATGTACATATTATTCTCGTGTTTCATTTTGTCGTTCTCATTTCTCCTGCTGGCCGGAGTGTGCCGACATTGTCGGCACTTCCTTACAGCCGTGCCATTCCCATTCCAGATTACCGTAAAGGTCATGCTATAAGCATGACCTGCTGTGATATGAGTGTGTTTATTGCCCAGATGAGCGTCAACTTACTTTGCTCCGCCTGTAATCGTCAGCATTCTACCACAGCACCCACGTGTGCTAGTCGACTGTTCATAAAGCTCTACAGCTAATGTGTTCTGCATAACACACATCACGGGGCGCTATTTCGCCTCAGGCTACTATAAAGCCTACGAACCACCGATACAACGCATCTCCACACATCAGAGGCGCTAGCAATTTGTACCAGCCGTCCGCGGAGGCGAATGGTCTCCTACTTGAATCAAATTCAAAAATGATTTAAAAATCGGAACATTTCATGACCAATAGTAAGAACTCATTTGTTTAGAAAGAGCGCCATAGAACCCAAACAAAAGCGAGTTCGGTCTGGACTTCTTTTCATTTTCAGCGAGTGGAACTTTGAAACATTCTGTTGCCGCTATATGACAGTGATGATTTTCGATACGAGCAGATTCAAGAAGACCACGGCTTGCTCTTCATGATTACGTACCACACGTACCAAACGGCCAGTTTTAGCGTGCGTATTAGGCATCGTGTTAAAAGTCCTGAGTAGAGAGAAGAAACGCATGCACTAAAAGCATAGACGTGTGTTTTCAACCGCAAACTCTTGAATTTGTTGCACTCAATGATGAAATGAGACATTAGGCAAAATATCTAATCAGCTCATTAAAACACATCTAAAAATCCGTTTCATTTCAAACAAAGCAACTTGGGATCATTGACAAAAAGGGAAAACTTCTAACAATAAGCACTATAGTGCCAAGCAAATTGAAGAAGCAGACGCCTCCGGATTAGATATGCGTCGCCTGGCACGGCTCTCTCCATCTCTCGCTGATTCGCTCGATGCTGTACGAACGTCCAGCATCTGTTTTCACAAAGTGCACGATGTAAGCACCACCACTGCTATGAATTTTGTCATAACTTTTGCGATCACGAGACGTCAACTAGTGTCACGTCCGCTTTTTAGCGTCGAACAAAAGCGATTTCGTGATGTAATTTGACCGCTCAAGAATCGTTTTGTTCAAAAGTGGGATGCTGTCAAAAGTGGGATACTGCTATGATTTTTGCAAGGTGTAAACACTAACGTTGCACTTTGCAAATGATGCATATCGAAGTATTAATAGTTGAGTATTTGGAAGACTCCGTTCTCTTAGAGCGAAGTTGGCGATGCGAGTAAAACTTGAGATTGAAGTATAGTCAACGACGGCTCAGTTTACGCTCAAGTTTTGGTTTCGGAGAATGCTAGTGGGCGGTAAGAGGTGACGGCAGAGAGCGAGAAGGTTAAACAGAGAGTTGCAGCATTATAATTTTGGCCTGATGCGGATTGGAACGATACTGTACGCGAACCTGATGCCCTGGCTGAGATCAGAGCCTGGCTCTGATAGAATGGAATCAGACTGGACTTCGTTTTTGGAACAAAAAACAAATGAGATGTCGTTTCTGCGGAGTCCGAGGCGGAGCCCCGAAGAAAATTGCGCACATGCATTACTAGCGAAGTATGTGGAGGATTATGCACAGACAGTGTGCAAGACAATTTAACACACTTTCCATAATACCAAAAGCGATTAGTCAATCAAACAAGCTTAGAAGACAAGCCCAGACATTTGAGAAGGTTTTGACTAACCAGGCGTTCGCAGTGATGGAAGATGGCCCATGGTTCTAAAGTGAGGATATTTGTAGACTGTTGGTCACTTGGCCAAGATCTTCATCTCTCACTTTCGATCACCTACCACTTCATCCTCTACAGTTTCTTTTCGACTCAATCATAACTAGGTCGGAGGTTCCAAAACGATGGTGAATCTCATATGTTACACCCATTTCCAAGAAAAGTTATACACCCATCTCAAAGTTTTCCCCTGTTAGGATCACCGCCATTTTTGCAGTTGTTTGGAAAGATACTAAAGAAACAAATTGTCAAATACTTGGACAATCGTGAGACCATTTCCCCCACCCAGCAAGGATTTCAGCGTGGTAAGTCCACTACCACTGCAATTGTGCGATCACTCAACTAGTAGACCCTCAGTTTCGATAGAAGCTTCAATAACGATGTAGTTTACTTGTACTTTACTAGAGCCTTTGGTAAGGTACCGTGCACTCTGAATTAGTCAAAAAGTTAAAATTGAAAAGTTAACGATTGTTGAGCTACATCCTCGTATTTGTTGTCTGGATCTTGATGACGTACTCTTCTATGATCAAGGCTTGAGTGATTCAGCCAACACCAAGATTTTTATCGTATTTATTCGGAAACAGCACGAAACAGCATCTAGAGGACAGAATAACATATCGGGAATCAACAGAAAAAGAGTTTAAAAGGGAATATCGGAAGCTTAATAAACATTGGTTAGAGACCGCACGGACAGCAGGTCTATCGCAACACATCATATCCCGCCTCAAATGTGACCTACCAGTATGTCCTGTACGTACTAATTGAAACGCATAAGTTACCGTCCGACTTGATAAACTCAGAAGACCCTTCACATTACAAGGTTCGTCCTATCATAAGTAACATCGGCGGCCCAACGGATAGGATCTCTTGGTTACTCAACCTCATCCTCACTCAAATGCTGCGATTTATCCCTGCGCATCTGCCCAATACGAGCGCCTTGTTAGAGCACTTGCGAAGCATGCGATTTGGTGTAAGCGAAGTCATAGAATCCTTTGATGTTACAGCTCTTTATACGAACGTGTCCAATCCAGCCGCCTGCAGCCTGTGTTCGAATTGCTCTATGAAAGGATCGATAACATCAGCTTGTATGGATTTACTATCCAGCAGGTCATGTCGCTATTGGGAGGTTGTCTAGACTGTTCGATATTTCGCTGGTCGGGCCAATACTTCAAGCAGATCAGAGGACTTGCTATGGGGCAGTGTTTGGCTCCTGCGATAGCTGTATGCTTCATGTCCAAAGTAGAAAAGCCAGTACTCAGCCGCAGTCTTACTCTCCACTACCAGTACATTAATGATTGCCTCATCGTTTCTCCAACTCAAACGGAAATAGACACGTGCTTTGACCTGCTCAACAGGCAATCAGCTGATATCCGATTCACCAGGGGAACACCTAAGGATGGTTGGCTTCCATTCCTCAACATTCAGATATGTTTGAGGAAAGGAAAGTGTAGGACCAGGTGGTATAGGAAGCCAACCAGTAAGAACATTCTAGTACAATACTCCTCGGCGCACTCCATTCGTACCAAACGCAGCGTAATTGGGAATATGCTTCGCACAACTTGGACGGTGTCATCGGACGATGACCTTAAAGCCGCTTCACTTAGTAAGGCACTACAGGTAGCGCAGGCTAACGGATACCCACAGAAGGGCGCGAGCGAGCCACATCAACAGATCACCTGGCGATGATGGTAGCAAGGTAACATTCTGCCTCCCCCTTATTTCGGATGAGTTGAGTAAGGTCATTAGGGCCTGCGCGCGAAAATCGGGACTGCAAGACTCACTCAGAGTCGTTGAGATTCCTCCCCCTAATCTCAAACAACGTCTAGTGCGCAACAGAGCATAAGATCAAGCTTGTAGCACCCGTGATTGCATAATCTGCGCAACAAATTGTAGCGGCGATTGCATGTGCTCTGGTACAGTTTACCTCATCACTTGTAAGCTATGCGCGGAGGAATATGCAGGAGAGACGGGAAGGCCGCTATGCGTCAGGATCAAGGAGAACTTGGACGGGTTGCGAAAATCAAGGTTATCAACCCCCTTGGGCACACATCGTAGGCTATGCCACCAAGACGCAGAATTCGAGATTTCGATTAACATCCTGTCACGGGAGACTGAGGTGTCCGCATGAAAGACCCTCGAGGCGTGCTGGACACTATCCAGAAATCAAAATGAACAAAAAAGAAGAACGCACCGCAGTAACAACCGAGCTCGCGCCATTACTGGAGTTATGCAGGTTTTGATCTATGCGTAGCCTCCAGAGACTTGCCTCATTCACTGCTAGCGCATTACAGTCAGTGGTGGTTCTTCCTCATCTAACAGCAAAAGGTGAGCTCATAATTCTAGGCCTTAACGGGCGTCTTTTCAACTTTTGGGATTCTTCTTGCATGTGATGAGATGTTTGAGAGATTAATTCTCAATGTTCCTCACTTTATAGGCTCTGACGAAGGCGACTACGCCGAAACGTTAGCCGAATAAATACGATAAAAATCTTGGTGTTGGCTGAACCACTCAAGCAACTTGATCGTTATGCCAAGATTCATCGAAAGTCGAACGTGGAGCTCTTTTATGGTTCGTATCAATGACACTTCCTCTTAACCTAGACATATGAGTAGCGGGTACCTCAAGGGGATGTCTTTCCCATTTTTTTTCAACATCTACACCTAGAGCTTCCACAAATTCTGTTGAATTTGGCCTGGCTTGATGTGCCTTTGCAGACAATTTCAAACCGTATAAATAGTAATGGAGGATAGTGATGGCAGCCGTTTACAGGAAGCGCTAGATAAAGTTTATGAGTTCAAAGAGTGAGGTTTGCCAATCTCCAAGAAAAAACCCAAATTCATTCACCTGGATTATCACATTGGAATCTAGTTCGTGTATTTCCTGAATAATTGTTGCGGCCTGAAGTTTAAGAAGTTCTCTCCTAAAGGATATTCGTCAACGACTGCCCCGTTTAGTGCATTTACACCACCGCAGGCGTGCCTCTTTGGGGCCTTTCCAGCTTGACAGTACGCTGCAGCGCGCCGGGACTTCATAGCTCGCAGCAACACTGTCCTTTAGCCTCTTTTGTTGATTTAAGTATTTCGCATCGTTTTTTCTTCTTAATTTTCATTTCAGGCAATCGACAGTTCTATGTCTATGTGAGATCATCGTCGCGAGCAAAATAGAAAAAAAGAATGACCTTATTTGTAGTTGCAGTGGTGGATGTCATAGTCATGATTGCGATTGCATATTTTCTTCAATGTTTTACAATGATGATATGTTTCCTGGCACATACCACTGGACTGATTACTTCAACACTCCTACATCAGGGACACCATGTAGGTGTGTTGAAATAAACATTAAAGTGGCCTCATCTAAGGAAACTCCATCATACCACCACTGTTTTATTGACAAAGCACACCCTTTCACCCAACTTTACCCGAGGAGATGTTCAAGTTTTGAAAAAGAATGTTTGGTGGGTGAAAAGGGAGAGGAATTCAAGAAATGTGTTTTAAACAAATTTTTTCCTTACCTCTCAGTACTCATCAAAGTGAAACGTAGGGCATTTGAATATCGAGAGAATCTAAGAAAAAGGGAAAACGAATGACTGATTGAAATACGTAAACTAAGAAGAAAAAACGATGTGAAATACTTAAATCCACAAAAGAGGCTAAAGGACAGTGTTGCTGCGAGCTAAGAAGTCCCGGCGCGCTGCAGCGTACTGTCAAGCTGGAAAGGCTCCAAAGAGGCACGCCTGCGGTGGTGTAAATGCACTAAACGGGGCAGTCGTCGACGAATATCCTTTATCAGATGATCCAATTCTAGATTGGTTCCAGAAATGTGATTATCACCAGGACCAGACTTCAGCTGACGAAGCTTTTTTTACATGTCGCGTTATTCATGATATGGACAGGCTCATAAGAATTCGATCTTTTCCTGCTAAGCTATCTATGTTCACATGCATTTTGTGAGATTATCTACACTCCGACAGTGGAACTTGTTGTCAACACGGATTCTATGTTGTTTTTGCATTATCTTACATGCATTCTTTTGTGTTTTATTGTTCATTTGTTCGTTGAGTCTGACATGGGATCTCCCCATGTAATAAATGGAATGAAAATCAAGACATTTACATGACGGACGTGCTTCATCGCTCCTTGCGAAAAGGCGCGCGATTTGAAAGCAAACCAAAGTCAACAAATTGTTTATTTACAACGTAGAAGCAAATGACTCCAAACACGTACTTAAATCTACACATGGCTGCGCAGAGCGCGCCTCATGCCCCAGCGCGAATTTCTCCGGCGCGCAGGATCTTCGCTGTTGGGGCACGCTAAACATTGCGGACTTCTATTCTACGCGTACATATGATCGGCTCCCCGTGTGGAGGTGTATTGCAGACTTTGCCTGATAACACATGTAAACTTGCTAAACCTCCACGTCATAGCATTGTTTCTCGTAATCTCTCGCTAGCAAAAACCGCCACGCGGTGAGTTGGCAAGACTCCACCTCCACACGAATCTGGGAGTCGATGATAGGTTATATGAGTGCTGTCACTTGTCTTCCCCGGAGGTATTGCAGATATTCACACCTCAAGTCTAACGTAAGGTGAAAATCCGTATATGCTCAGCGCTTTCTCATAGTAATTGAAGGCTCACTTGCGAAGTAGGAGTTTCTTCTAAGATTTTCCCTTCGTTTACGTATTTGAAAAAGGTCCACCTTCTGCATTTACCACAGTTTCTCTATTAAGAAGCTGGAGAGAGTATCCATGGAAGTTCTCTGATAGGCGGCTAAAGCTGTGTTGTAGGTGTCGTCGATTTCTGTCCTTACGAGCGAGTCTCTGCCCATAAACGTGTGCAATAGTGCCAGTCAGTACGATATCTATGTCCTTAATCAACTCCTAGCCAACGTTTGATGCAAGTCCAATTGAAGACTAGTGGATAGGAGTTCTAAGATGGCTTCGAACGGAACCAGCTTAGAACTTCTTAGTTGATTTTGTTGAAAGCTAACTTAGAACTTCTGTCCAGTTCTTTTCGTTAGAACTAAAGAAGTATTGATGCTTCAGTCTATCCTGATAAAACTTTTTATTTGACTAATGTTTGAAAGAGGCATTATAAAGGAGTCTTAACTTTCACTGAAACCTAGGGATCAAGTGTGTTTCATAACAGACATTCCTTGCTTGCCTGTTTTTCATGAATGCATTGCTGTTTCACATCTATGTGCACCCTTCAAAGACCAGGAACGGATGGGCTTGAAGCCATCGGGCACAGTCATATGATGATTGGTGACTGAAGCGAAAACTTGTTAAGCATCATAAGGCATGCATAGACGCGTTGAGTTTAGAACAGTGCGCGGATCAATGGATCGAAAAACAAAGGATTTACTGAGAAATCCTCGTATTATTCATTCACTTCTTCATGTTTGGGCTTTTTCGGAACATGTAAATAGAGGCGGTCAAGCACTTTTCGTTGGCCTTGCACTTGACTTAGCGGATACCATCAACTGTTTGTAATTGACAACTTAGTTTGTAAAAACGCATGCTCTTGTTGTGCTCCAAACAAAACGTGAAGAACCTGAAGCATTAGTGGACAGTATCTCCAAACTAATTTCGTCCATGGTCTTTGCAAGGCACCCATCATTGTTAAACAACAGTTCTCGAAACTGATTGTGTGAAACCGCATTTACGTTTTCTTCAGATAGAGTTTGGCCTATAAGTTTTGGTGGTGACAAAGTGACCCATATTTGACTCTTTCAACAAGCAATCCATCTGAAGGCATGAACGAGATGATTCTTGATCAAGAAAGTCCTGCTCCTGTTTTTCTTAAGTTGACAATCAACATCTGTGCGATGAAAAGCGAACGCATGCCAATAAAAATATCAGTGTCACTTGAAATTATGAACCTTCTTGTACGCCACACAGGTTTGTTATGATGTTTACCTGTGTGGCTTACAAGAAAGTTCATGATTTCAATGCCCACGTTTTATAATCAGAGAACATAGTATAACATATCAGTGTGACTGTCAAACGCTCTATTAAATGGGCGAATAAATCCGAAATGTTATTTTGCACCAAATGAGATGGAACAAACAAGCATCCGTCATCCCATAGGCACAGTACTCAACCATCGGGAAATTGTATTTGTACAAATACCCCATGTTATAAATGCAACCTTGCGCAGGCCACAGTGGTCACATTTCCACCATGATCAAGCAATGTAACCAATGATTCTTTGCTTATCTACTATGTAGATGTGCAAAGAATCACTGATTACATTGATTCCACCGTATGCAAAGAATCCTCGGTTACATTGCCTTCACTGTATGCATAAAATCATCAAGTTCAAAGTATCTAGCGTGCTCCGGCATTGTAAACCATGCGCGCCGGCTAATTTAGTACCGGGTCATGGGGCGCGCTTTGCGCAGCCATGTGTAGATTTAAGTACGTGTATGACTCCAATAGACTGTAGGCAGGGATTATCATTTAGGAAGAAGTAAATTCATGTGAACTAGTACCTTTTCCAGAACCAGGTGGCCACCCACTTGTAAGGGACTATATGTCACCGAAAAGTGTGGTCCCGTGCAGATATCTGCTGCAGACAGCGCAGCTCCACAATTACGGACGTAGCAACCTGTAGCAGTTGCGCGTGGGGTGGAGCCCATCGGTGACATGTACTTCCCTACACACGGTCACCGTATGATCTGGGGTCATATGGAACATATACCTTTTTAAGTCCACGTAAGTTTTGGCTTTTTCTTTCTTAGACGGATTCCCGGTCAAGGTTTTCATATCATTGCCTCTCTTTTGCCTTGTTTGCCTTGACTTCTTCATGAATGGCTTTGTTACTCGCGCTCCAGTGGCCGTATTCATCAACGAACAACCCAGTGGGTTCCGGAACCCAGTTCAGTGCTTTTGATGAATATCGATTCCAGGGTAGAATCGATATTCATCAAAAGCACTAAATGGGTTCCAATGGGAACCCACTGGGTTGTTCGTTGATGAATACGGCCACAGTGGCACACTCTTGTGCATGTGATTTACTCAGCTCCACTTTGAAGATTCACTCTTATTTCACGGTTTTCTTTTGAGACCTGTCGAGACGCAGACCAATTAGATGGTCCGACAGTCTCCTCGCCGACTTGGGCGGTGCCACCAACTTCAGATGAGCTGGCACTCCCCGGGTGATCGGTGGTCCCCTCCCCAATTATGTTCCCCCATATCTATATTGATGTTATAACGATAAAAGAATCTAGTCAAGAACTATTATGTTAAAGCAAAGGAAAGAAACTAAGGGTAGAGGGATCAAGTTAAGAGAATAGCTAATTCTTCAAATTTGACATGGAGGTCCCGGGTTTTTCTGAACTTTAGTCGCATAACTTTTTTTTTACTAAAAAAACCTAAGCATAGATTAGGCCAATCTCTGCTGATTCCCACCACCGGCACCAGCCCTCATATCCTACGTGAATTACGTAGCCCTTTTTCATATTTACCCTTTCTTTTCTCTTTTTCCTTGAGTCCAGGCGATGGGTCTGAGTGTGTTTTTTCTTATTTTGTCATATTTTTTTCGTGTCATAGTGGGTAATGAATATAATCATGTATTCTTTACCTACTGTGTGTTTGACAGTCTTTTTTTTGTTTCATAGCAGATAACGAATATATTACTATATTGAATATGGTATATGATATTTTTTGTCTGCTGTGATTCCTTACAGTTTTTACCGTGATACCACGTGAAGAACCGTAAATATTTACTCTTTCCTCCTCTAGCCCCCTTTCCCCACCCTATTTATTTAGAAAACAAGTCTAAAACTTTTCATTTTTTCAAAACATATTTTACTTTGTAACTTCCACATTTTCTCTTTCACAATCTATTATCTTTCCAAAACATGTAAAATTCATTTTCACAACCATTTTTCGCCATATTTCGCCTACAACTTTACACATTATTTTCAATCATTTATTTTCTTCTTTCTCACTTTCCATCGTTAATTTTTCTTACACAAACTCAGGGACTCTATCGCCAACGCCGGCACTGTACATATGTATAGAATTTTTTCATAATTGTGTTTAATTGCCATAGCCGTTTTGTAATTGCCGCAGTTCCACAGGCGATCTAGACGCCTGTGGATAGTCCGTAGGCTATGTTATGGCTATGTTATGTTATCACATAGCCTATGGTGATTCCATAGGCTATGTGATAGCCCATGAGGTTACCAGAGGCCCTTTTCCCAGTCACGCCGATTCAGAGCGTCATTATCTAATCTTGAGTGGCATATAAGCGCCAGGAGCTGTCCTAAGCTCGGCGGAATTCGTTTCAAGCAGTAATACAATACTGCCTAGTCTGCGCTTAGGTCAGTTTCGCCTAATTATTTATTTGTAAAAGATTGTGCAGCCCTGGATCAGCTGGTTCTCGACCACTGAAGCGAGTTGGATATTTACTGTTCATCTTTATCCAACTTTGTCACAGAGGTATTCATTTATTAGCTTTTAGTGTTTTATTATCATTGTGTGTTCATACAATTTCTGTTATCCACTCTAACCAAAAACGAAAAAAAATCATTCGTGTTCATGGTTGCAAAACAGATTTCCAGAAAAGGTTCCAGCCTGATCTCAGATGTTCAGAGCGTCTGAGACAAGCAACGGATTGGTTTCCCTCATAGTAAGTGAGAAGTTCCAGTAGCAACCTCACCAATCTCATTCACGCAGCAGCTACTGACAGTGTAAGTTTGCCCGCAAGCAACCGCACTATGAAAAGAAAGAATTCTCTGATTGGCGGCTCGGAGAAGGCTTTCAGTAAATCACTTTTCACCCACGCCCTTGTAATCAACGTTAGGAAAGTGTTCCCTCCTGAGTTGCTTGCAGGTTAGAAAAAAAATGACAATATCCTGTGAATTTACATGTCCATATCATAGCTTACCCTGCTCTGTAACGGCAAATGTTCGGAATATACATTCCGTTCCTTCGCCGTCTTCGAACATAATTCATTTTGTTATTTGCTGTCGATTTATATATTATTCCATGCCAGTAATCTCGTTTTCTACAACAATGCTCACTATTTTCTTCGCGGATGTCATCATATACCCGTATGTCACATTTCATCACCAGTGCGGTCTTTGTCCGCCTCCCTATACCCTCTGCCACATTTTACCACCATGCGGAAATCCCCATACGCCTTCCCAAAGGATTACGGAAGCCTCATCCGTACCCCGATTTGCTCATCATTTAAATCATCTCATCATTCGTCCATGTTGCTCCCATTCTTCAGCTCGAGACGAGCTCATTCTTCTGACAGGGCGTGCGAAAGCATGCCTTCTCATCCCTTTTCCCCCTGTCCTTGTGAAGAAAAATCCAGCGACTAACGCCTGAAGCAAGTCTGCCCTCAACCAAAGCAGCAAATGGTAAATGGGCAACATCAACTGTACATATGGGCAACGTCCAACTCAATGATGACATCGCAACCATGCATATGGGCAACTCCCCAGCGAAGCCACTGATGACAACTCAATAACCATGGCCAACCTCAAAAGCTCGAGGACGAGCTTTGCCATGGAACGGACATGTCGAGACGCAGACCAATTAGATGGTCCGACAGTCTCCTCGCCGACTTGGGCGGTGCCACCAACTTCAGATGAGCTGGCACTCCCCGGGTGCTCGGTGGTCCCCTCCCCAATTATGTTCCCCCATATCTATATTGATGTTATAACGATAAAAGAATCTAGTCAAGAACTGTTATGTTAAAGCAAAGGAAAGAAACTAAGGGTAGAGGGATCAAGTTAAGAGAATAGCTAACTCTTCAAACTTGACAGACCAATGACTCTTTTTTGTTTCCATCCTTTCCTAATCCGACAGGTTTGCAGTAAGAGTCAGAGGTGACATCGTAGAAATTTCGTAAGCCACGGGAATTTTCGTTTTTAGAAACCCTAGAGACCGATGTATCCTCAGACGTCCTTTGAACGCGGGTTCCAAATCTGCTCTTTTGTGGAGCAACACTCTGAGAAAGGTTATGAACGCTTCAATGTCCAAACTTGTCAAGCCCTAAGAAGCACAGAATTAGCGGAGTTCTACAAAAACACCTATGCCGATTTCCACTCGGATTATTCCTTGTAGTCAATATACTCAATACAAGATTGACTACCCATTTGCAGGTATTTTTGAACAGTTTTCGCTGATTTCACACCACTTGGAACTTGACAAATTTGGAATTTACGCTCATAACATCTTTCAGAGAGTTGTTCCGCAAAAAAAGGAAAGCAGGTTCAGAATCAGTGTTTAAAAACGTGTCTGTTGATATAAATCTCGTCTTCAATCGCTAAGTTGAGTTGGTGTCATTCCCTTGAAAGTTGATGAGTGATGAAGAGATGGCTTAGCCATTTTCAGACCAAAATCAAGTTTGGAAATTATTTATTTGGGAGCACAAAATTCGCTGAAACTTGGTGCACTGGAGTCATTTGATGATCATGATATTCTTATACCTGATAGGGGCCTTTCGTTATGATTATGGTGTTAAAGGTGATACCCAAGAGGGAGAGACGTATGGCGCTCATGTGCCAGACCTCTTGCTTAATCCTGGTTTCACATCGGCGGTCTCCAATCGAAATTCTTCGATTTAATCGAGAGGGATTCAATACAATGCAGCGTTTTCTCCGTTTACAATAACTCTTTGGCGTTTGCCTTGATTACAGCTATTACTTCCTCTATGTCTTTAGTCATACAAGCTTCACTTTGTAGGAGTGTGGAAACTTAAAGGAAGTGGATCGGCAGGGTGGACCTCTGTCCGATTTTGCCCAGCCACTGCCCTTCAACAGCCATCACTTTTCGAGCGCTGGCTTGACAACTGTCGTGTGACTATGACCGTTAATTATGTATACTGCACAATATTAGCAGCAGCTGGAGCAGCTTGCAGTGCTAATTGCCATGAAGAGCTCTCGCCGTTTTTACAGAGTGTAGCTCTGTAAAAACGGCGAGATATCATCGCTATCGTATCATCATCTGTCGATCATCGCTGTCATCGTATCATCGCTCCATCGACTGTGCACTCCTCGAGCTCTATCGCTGGTCGACAATATTCGCTGAAAACAGTTACGTACAATGTCAGTAATGTGTATGTGTCTTCATGCCAAAATGGGAAAGAACAAACTGATCAAAAATTTTGTTTGAGAACTCCATCTCTTGGAGATCATTACGATCACTACATGAATTCACAAGATAGAGTTTTACCCTGCTAAGCAAAATACGGAACCACATCCAGAAAATTCAAGTTCAGTGCATTTATTGCTTTCAAATCTAGCCGTGCTTTACAAGTGAAAAAGGTTAGCAACAGTGAACAAGTGATTTTATTAACATGACTACTGTTCTACCCGTGAGGAAGTTCGTTCTAATGTTAACTTCCAAAGAACGTTCTAATCACATTTTGACATCAAAATCAAAATACATTTGGACAACCAACCATAGACAACTTACTCTCTACAAATGCTGAGGACTGTTAAGAGGAAAAAAAGGAATCAAGTCCAAAGCAAAGAGTAGTCATTAATGTCGCCTTGAATTAAGAAGATAATGCAAGGTAGCCTAGCTTATTGATGATGATAGCAAAATTCGATTGAACGACGCGAACTATAGCGAAGTAGGCACATTCTGAATTACTCGAATAGATATGAAGTGATTACAACGATGATTCAATAACGAATCCTGTCCGAAATCATAAGCAGTGTACTTATAATGAGTGAAACTCTAACATATCAAAGCATCAAGCAAAAACTCCTGATTCCCCTTTGGTAAATTAGAGATCCAAGAACGCGAGTTTGATGTACAAGCACTATAAACGTTCCGTAAGCCTCCAAGCAACACGTATTTGTTACAATACAACTTCGATGCCGTGTCGCTGGACAGTTTCCCAGTTTACCTTCTTGTAACTGCCCTTGGCTTTCACAAATTTACCATCCTCAAAACTTGCTAAACACATGCGATGGCACTTGGACAGCGACGGCGTTCGAGCAACGGTTGCACGACCAGCAACGGGGTAGCCGGTAGAGGGCGTCGACTGCTCGGTAACAGTCTAAAAGAAGATAGAAAATGAACAAATTCTTCACATCTTCGTCATTCTACTTCCATTCCACTACAAAATTCCCTAAAATGTAATATGATTGGTGCTAGACTTCTCAGGGGTGGAGGAACGAACACCTCAATTAGGCACCGCCTCCGCGGACCACTGGTCCCAACACGATGCAAAACAGTAGGACGGAAGGACCAGCAGCCCGCGGAGGCGATGCCTAATTGAGGCGTTCGTTCCTCCATCCACTTCCCAGCATTGCGTAACCAAACTAAACAAATGATTTCGCAACTGTACGATCAAACTTGTCCACATCAAAGTCTGCTTGCACTTTAGCACCTCCAGTAATGTTTACCTCCGAATACTGGAACTGTACATTCTAGATTACTCAGGTTTTACGAAACTCGCGTGTAGTACACATGGGCCTGCGCAGTAAAGCTTGTAAGCGCCATTTTACTCAATGTTACTAAAAAGGAGTTCCTCCCTGCTCTCAAACCTTTCTCGGATGCTACTAATGTGAAAATCTAATATCAAAATTTGAAAATAACCTATAGCCTTACAGATAAGTACGCTTTTTTGACAAGAAAAATTGATTAAAATGCACCCTTGCACCGCCAGGAATCTTGCAGATAAGTCCTTCCATCAGATAAGTCCGTCTACAGATAAGCCCGGACTTATCTGACAGTCTCCGACTTAGTTATAATGGGAAGAAAGCGGACTTATTTAAAGCGGACTTATCTGAAGGGCATTATCTGAGTTAAAAAAGCGGACTTATCTAGGACCTTATCTGAGTTAAGAAAGCGGGACTTATCTGAAGGGCCTTATCTGAATAGAAAAGAGGACTTATCTGAAGGCGGACTTATCTGTAGGCGGACTTATCTGATGGGAGGACTTATCTGTGAGATTCTAGGGTACTATTTCACGAAGATTACTCACCTCATCTATGATGATGTCATCGTCATTAATGCTCGTTTTGACAGAGTTTAGCATAGCATTCAAAAGCATTGCTTGACTTGAGAAAATCTGAAATATGCTTACATAAAGTTGATAGAACACAATTTAATGCCAGCTTACATGTAGGATATTCATTTTCATGGAAGTCAGCTGCTCGGATTTTCCTGATATAAACTCGTTGCGAGACTTGATGTAATCATCATCTGGGAACGACAAAAACAGTAGGTGTTGATGACCTTTTCGAATTTCTTCCGGTGAGCTAAAGCGAGAGGCGATTAGAAAACTTTAAATCGTCGCTTGCCAACAAAAAAAAACTAGTCAACGGTATGAAAACTGACTATATCAACTTTCTCCAAGAGCAATCGCGTATCTTTTGGACGAGTAAAAGGTCATGCTTAGCAGCATCGGTTATAGTCACAAACTCGTTATTGACACCGACAAGCACCTGAAATTGCATAGTTTATTTCATAGATTGCAAAAACGAAATAATCACCTCAGTATCAGGGGCTCCACTCAACAACAGATTGAAAACTTTTTTGATGTTCAGGGGATTGATACCTGGGCGCTCAATCAGGCCGCGGAAGAACGCAGCACTGAAAAAAAAAAGAATCCTTATGAAGATTTATGCGTCTCAAACAACCAATGAAGTCAGATACTATTCGTTGAGCCGAGACAATTTTCTTTTGTTGATTGCAGTCATGTTTACTAACTGAGTCTAACGAGCAAAGCGAACTAAAAGCGAGAAAGAGGCTTATCAATATAACTTTCATGAAATGGTTGCCATGCCCTACATAGACTACACCTTACCCATAACAAGGGGTGGATTCCCGTAGTTTCGTCAAGTAATGTCTGCGTACTTCATCTAATCCATTGGCTCTCAGAATTTCACTTCCTTTCTTCCATGATTTGACGACAAGAGTTTCGAGCTCGCTGAAACAAAAGTTATATAAACCTTTCAAAGAGCATAGTTAATTTCAAGATAGCAGTAAACAAGATGAATGGAAATTACTTGAATCCACTGAGTGCTTTTCCCAGGAGCATCGGTCCACGAATAATATCAGCCATTCGACTAGGAAGCTGGTCCTCCAGATGTATTCTAATCCAATCCACAGTATGCACTTTCGCATCAAAAGCACCATCCTCCATGGTAAATCCGAGACCGGCTAATTCAGCGGCACATTCAGGTGGCATCGGACAACGGTCAAGGAAGAGCGACGAGCGCGCATCCGTAAGTAGCATTTCCAAGGCTCGCGTACAGAAGGTCACAATCTAAGCAAAATGGATATGCAAAACACTGAAAAAAAAATGCTCGCTATGAAAATACCCGCTGCTCCTTGGCTTCAGAGAGCTGCACGTTTCTGCGGAAATACAACACAGGTTCGTCACTCTTTTTCCTACTTTCTGATGCTGACTGCGCAAACTTATCCAAGACTTCGCCCCATCCACGTCTCATTTCATAAGGTTTGTGATGAGGTTTCAGCTGCACCTCTATAAAAAATAATTTGATTTAGCCTAGTCGGAACGGACCCTTCTCCGTCTTGCTTACTGTTAAACTGTGTTTGTTCAAATGAGTCACTTGACGCTAGCAAACACTCAGCACCAGCTTTATGGTATTTACATAAAAGTAACCGGATGTGAACATTTTGCGAGACGTTCCACTTCAAAAGAAGAGAAAAACTTCACCATAATGCAAACTTCCAATGGATTGAATGGCAATCGAAAAAGACCTGCGAAAGACTTATAAGAGTCATCCAAAAGTTAGCTAGTTATGAATAATGTTCTTTGAACTTTTCGCTTATTCAAGAAACTCTAAGCTGGTATTCTTGACATTCATCCACTGTGATTCCAGCTCATTTTGCTTGATGGACTCGGCCGCGATATTAGAACTATGCATATTGCGGTAAGCAATCAGAATCAACCTACCTAACAATTCCGAAATCATCCACAACGAGAATGCTTCTTTCACTATTGACTTGTCAATCCCATATTCTTTCCCCATCAATTCGACTATGTATTCTGCAGTAGCATTTCTTCCTCCCGGTATATTGAATTGAATGCCAGCATCTAAAACTAGTTTTCTGTCATAGTGCAATCAAATGCCTTCGCTGCGCAATGCAGAAACATACAGCTGTTATCGTCTTCTTCTGCGTTATCCATTCTTTCAAACTGAGACACATAAACTCGCATGGAGACAACATCATCCTTCTTACTCCGATAATCAGCCGATTGGGGAATGTGACTGAAAGTGGAAGATCGAAGCGAGTAAGTGGCGAAGACAAGGGAAAAAACAAGTACAAGGCGCAATACAAATTATTTTTTGTACAAGATAAATTTGATGAAACTAACTGCAGTGTATAACCAATAGGCGAGATCGAGAGCGGTGGGGTCCTTTTTAGGCCGGCGCTGGGCGGATCGGCGAAGGAGACAATCTGCCTCTGTAAAAAAAATTAGGAAGGTAAATCCTTCAGAGTGATTTTGATAAGCTTTCAATCACCCTTCACTGTAGACCTGATGTAACCATGACAATAATCGCCCTTACAGTTTACACCAATCTTGTTCAGGCAAAATTAGCGTGATGTGCGAGCATATCGCCATAGTTTCAGCGAGAAAAAGAATGGCTGGCAAACGGGTCCTGTCACTTGCAAAAGCAATTCGCAGACATGAGGCAAAACACTAGCAATGCAGATGCGCAACATGCCAGTTTTGGCCTATTGCAGGGTAGAAGAAACCCTAAGCGCGTACTAGCAACTCATCAAATCGGAAGCTTTTCCCGCACGATCCAGGCGCATGCTCAAACCCTCATTCATCACTCTACGAAGCAACCCACCTCAGACATATTTATAGTCGGCAACTTGACTTGTCGTGCATCACTGAGTTTTTTCCTTGTAGTCGTTGGAACTTGTGAGCTTTCGATCACGACAGCAGCTGAAATTCAAGATAACTTCCACTAAATCCACTGTACTGACAATGTAAAAAGCGCTTACAACCACCGATAGAATCCGGTCGATTTAGATGAAACGTTTGCGGGTTTTCATCATTAGCCTCTTCTGGAGGCTGTAAAACCTTTATTTCAACAAAAAACTCTTGAACATGAGACATATATAAAGTTTAAAGATAGCGAAGGTAAAGGATGGGATGATGAAGCATTGCCTTACCTCCTCTGATTTCAGCAAATACTCGTGTTCTTTGATCGAGTTCTTCAGTTCAGCCATTACAAAAGTGGAAGTTCAATACTGCAACGGTATTTTCTATACAAGGCTGTTATTGAAACATAGGAAATCATTATAGAACGAAAGTCAAACCATGAAGGTTTACTAGAGTGTAGATAGCTTGACGAAACGAGGCAACAGTTGAGAACAGGCCCGGCATGGGTCCGTTTCTAGGCTTTTTGCCTTAGCGGAAACGTCGACTATGAAAACAAACCTAAGCTGCGTTTTTTCGGACTCACAAAAACGATAAATCCTTTGGTTTTTCGCCCCGAACAAAATCCAGACTGCTTCTCGACCTGTGCGGTCTTGGTTGTAAAATACCGATCACAGATGCACAACGAAAATGATTAACAGTACGAGTGTCTTGGAACAAATTGTAGAACATTACTCAGGATACAGTATAACGCTGCATGTTTCCATAATGTACAGTCACAACCATGTACTTTGTATGGCTCTGTTATTTACCATGTGCGGAAGAGATCGAATCCGTTTCCGGCCACTACTGTGCACCACCCCTGAGACTCTCGAGAATCATCGTTTTTTCAAATCAATTGTCGGATTGAAGTTCTAACGTAGCGCAGAAACTGAGCACTGTGTTAAAGCAACTTAGTGCAAAAATGACTGTTCTGGCAAAATTTTTGTTATCTTAGGCCCTGCCAGACTTCGCTCAAAAGCGCTCAAAAGCGCCCAAAAGCGCTCAAAAGCGCCCAAAAGCGCTCAAAAGCGCCCAAAAGCGCTCAAAAGCGCCCAAACTTCTCTAACCTCTCCTCACTCTCTCTCTTCTCTCCTCACACGAGAAAGTGAAGAGACAGCAGAGAAATTTGGGCGCTTTTGCGCGCTTTTGAGCGAGGTCTGGCCAGGGCCTTAGATGCTCACAAAATTTTCATGATGTCTCCTAAGAAAACTAATTCACATATCTATTACAGATCGCGACTATGGAAGAGAGCTCCGCCCTCTCTGCATTCCATTGTAGTCTAGACGTATATAAGCTCTGTCTTGATGACAGTGCCGCCACCTTTACGACTCCAGTCGCCTCGTTGAACCACGCGCCGCGTCTGCGCACATACCCTCGGAGCATTCTACAACGTTCTTCCAACTCCGAACGCCACTCACGCGAAAAAAAATGCCCACAAGATATGTCGTAGGCACGCGCAGAATCGAAGCGGAGCCGCCCGCGGGATCCGGGCCGCACAAGCCAGCGACACTATAGGGCACTCGAAAAATCGTGATGATGGAGCGACCGCGCGCGACACGCGCGTTAGTTTCTAAGCTCCTGTGAGCGAAAAGTCCGCAGTCAAATCCCTCGTCACGATTTTAAGAATGACCTATATCTTGGAGACAAGAGGGTTGAACACGAACTTCCAGCGCATTACATTACTACCGCAAATCACAAAGGTGAAAGCATTAGATCAATGTGTAACCACTGCTTGAAAAAAAAAGTGCTGTCTATCTCCCATCCGTGCATGATGCTTGGGATGGCACGGCACGACAACGTTAGCACAGCGGCCCTTATCAGGCACAGAAATGGCCAAATTGATAGATCCATCGACTCTTCTGAAATTACAAAAGAGCGAGCCGTTGGAGTACTGATTATATGATAGCAACACCATACTGTATGGTGCATTTTGTGCAGTGTGGCAAACCCACTTTCTAAAGTCGTTTTCAATACGTATTGGTTTTTTCTACCGTATGTCTTCCAGCCTCAACATGATGTGGATTGGTGTGGATTGGCGTGGATTGGTGCGGCGCCGCCGAGAAAAGCAACGCGGCGCAAACCCGAAGCGATGCGGCGCCTCACCAATCCACACCAATCCACGCCATGTTGAGGCTGGAAGGCATACGGTAGGAAAAACCAATACGTATTGAAAACAACTGTACATACATTCTCAAAAAGGGCCAGACATACATCATGCAATTTCATGCCTCCAAATCCTCCCAACAAGACAATTGTTAGAAGTCCTTTGCATAAGCATCTTGCATTTCGGTTGTGATATTTATTCGCGTCGGATTACTGCCACCATCTCGATGCATGCTCATAGGCATGCAATGGCTTCGTAACAGTTGACTTGTCCAGAGAGTCGTAAGGCGCTGAGATCGCGTGATGTCCCGGCCCTCAAAAGAGGTTCTTTTCAAAGAAACGTGAGACGCGAGAGTTCCAGAAGTTGTGTCAGAGAACGGCATGGACCCAGCAGCCGCGTCAATAATAATACAATCCGCTGGTTACCCCAAAAGCAGGAATGCTTAGGATTGCAGAAGGTGAAAAATCGACGGCTAAGCCAGTATACTGTATTTTGTCATTACCTCAAGAGCGATAACCTCGTTCCGGTGCTATGATTGACACCAACAAGGGGGGATCGAAGTGCTGACTTTTGATCTGCCCTCCTTATGTGCAGAACGCCTCTGAGAAAGAAGCTATGGACTTTCATTTGCGGAAAATTTGCAAGGCTCGCAGTAGCCGAAATCCTCAACATCTAAGCAGTTTTGGACTCAAACCATCTGGAACAGCTTATCCTTATTGATGTGATGCTGACTCTTTTAAAATCTTATCCACGCCAGAGGCAATTTAACTTTTCCATTTTGTGGCTACTCGAAACCACGCGAACTCTGATGATAAGGCCCATAACTTCCTTACCAAGAGGGCTCCGCAGATGCGGAAGGCAGATTCAAAATCAGCGCTCCGAGCTCTTTATAGCGATATGCATCTGTGGTAGTCGGACTTCGACCTCGCGACCCTCCTTTGTAAACAGTGAATACATTTATGTTTCTCTTTAAGTGAGAAACAGATATTGCACAGCCTCCTTTTTCCTGGCTCTGATGAAATAGCTGTACAAATTCTAACAAGGAATGCATGTTTAGTCGAAATGGCCTTTTAGATGGGATGTATACCATATTGAAGGGCATAAAACGCTGATTCCAAACCTTCCTTATCTGCAGAACGTTTATGGGAAAGTTATGAGCGTTTTTGGAGCAAAAAATAGTCTGGGCATTTCCGATAAAATGAGTTGCTAAAGTCTTACTAAAGCCTCAAATAATGCAAACAAGTGTGATATATTTTTTATTTTAGAGTATTTTTTGAATAAAGTGCTCTGCTAATTATCAGCTCCAATGGAGAACTGGAAAAAGGTTTTACGGCTATTTTTGTCCTACTTGCACAATCAATTTTTTGCTCCAATAAGCATTTATAAGCCTTGTCCATAAAGGTTCTGCAGATAAGGAAGTTAGTTTGGAATCAGCAATTTATGCCCTTCGATACAGTCACTTCGACTAGACATGCCTCCCTTGTAAGAAAGCTGAGAAAGCGACAGAAAACTTCTCAGAGGTGGTCATCGCAGCCTGGCATCTTTTTTGGACACGCACAAAGTTATACAGCGCCTGTTGTTGCTATGAGTGCTATATCTACGCGGAAAGTGCTATACATGAACAGCTCTAGGTCCTTTCTAGAACACTCGGACCTCAACATGTACACAAGTAAAGGGTGGATAGGAAAAAAGGAAATAGGTACAGGACTACTCCATCCCTTAGGTTTTACGTATTAGTACCGCGTCTCCAAACATCAGTTTGGAGCGTTATGTACATGTGATCTAATTCAGGTTCCATAGCGCATGATTTAGCGATAAAACGAGGGGCCCACGTGAAACCAGAGATCAAGGAACTTTGTAAATAAGATCTTTGAGGTCGTCCCAGACGATAAACAGATCGTTCAGCGCTGCAATCTCGAAAGCACAAACTGTCATAAACCGATTGGAGTACCGAAGTTGAGATTTATCAAAATTGTCGAAGTATATGAAGAAGATCACGATCACAAAAACTGTGAAATGCATCAGAATAATACCTTATGACATATCGAAAGCGAACACCCACGCCAAAGACGTCTTTTATGGCATGGCATAAAAACTAATGGTGTTTGCATGCGATGGTTGAGAAGATGAGAAGTATGACAAATTCTCAAAACTTGAGTTTTATTGAAGAAACGAATGCAGTCAGCTGACTTAATGCGTAATGCATTAATGCAATGTAGCAGAACAAACTATGAAAAGTGTGGTGGAAGATGAGCAGGGCCAAAATTTGTCTGAATCAATATCTTACGTTGATCACATAAATCAGACTTTAAAAAAAGTGAATAAATGATTGGAATAAGATACATACAAGTTAAGCAAACATATCAAATAATAGTTGCAATTTGGCGATGATAAGTGACTGAATGAGAGAGTGTTAGACTTTTGAAGAGGGGAGAACTAATGCCGTACTGGAAAGTCTGGATTAATTTAGGATTACCAAAAGAAAACTAGGTAAAAAGAACTATGGATGCTCATTTAAATGCATAACGAAGGAAATTCTGATAAACATTCAGATAAGGAAAGCATAAACGTCAACATCCTGCCGTCGCAGAAATAGTATCGATCGACAGCGAAGAGACGGAGGGCGCGTGATTCATGCGACCGCTCCCCGCAGACGATCGCTGTTTGAGCAGCGCCACCCCTCCGGCTGACTCCGGGAAGCATCAACAGGTAGAAAAAGAGAAGAATAACAATGACCTGGCTTATGACGACGACATCTCAATGCGCATAAACGTCGTCATCTCCCGTTTTTGCTGCCTAAAGCGGAAGTATTAGGTTTACGTCTGTCTGAGACTGATCACTTTGATAGTTTGACGAACTGGGACATTTTTGGTAGTACACAACTTCCTGACCAAAATTCAACATCTAAAGTTCTAGCTACATATAAGGTGCCTTGAGGTGATTCCCATAAGGAACCATCGCAAGGCAACTTATTCTCTGCTTGACGTGTTAAATGAGAAGGAGGAAATTTTAAGCGTTCTGAAAAAGGCGCACCAAAGGCAGCGCATGAGCGGAGAGGCTTGGAGATGTTCGCATCATGGGAAGAATCGCAGATACATGTCCAATTATAAGGTACTAGCTGGCTTACCCGGCTCCGCCGTATGTTCCGGATGGAAAATTCCATTTCTTAACCTCGGAATCCCCATGCTCACTTACCCCCCGTGCCAACTCCCAGCCCCGTAGCTCAAATTTTGCAAAAAATCGATAAAATTGATATCGATCGATGACGAAAAGTAGCCTATGACACCCGCCGGGGCCCGAAGTGTATGTGTGCCAAGTTTGGTCCCGATCGGTTCAGAAATGGAATTTTCTATTCGGAACATACGTACAGACAGACATACATACATACATACAGACAGACAGACAAACAGACATTCAGCTTTATATATAAGATTAGGGTGATCCAAAAGTAATGGGGCACCTAGAGAATAAATGCAGTTTTCTCAAATAGAAAAGCTAATTGGAAGTCCAAGTTTTGGCAGATGTTAGTACATAACAAAACCTTCTGATCGAGGTCTATAGTTGGACACTGTCACATGGCGTTATTTTTAAAATGAAAGCTCATCACCTCAAGCAATTTTGAACTTTGATCAGCAGCGCCGCAGTAGAACAAGTGAGCCTACCAAAGACATGTGCGCAGCAATGGGTGAGGGGACTGTCACCAAATCCACATTAGCTCGGTGGTCCCAAGGCTTAGAATAGAAGATATAGCATTTGGCATCAAGAGACATAGTACTTATTCTTTCATCAAGGAATCAAATAAGCTCAACTTTAACAGTTGCTTTCTGATAGTGCTTTTTACGCTCTATCCATACTATGCAAATTACTTTGAATTTTCTCATTTTCAAAAATTGTGGGCCAAAACATGAATTTTAGTCTAGAAAGCTGCGCTAAACACCCCACATTTTCGAATAAAGTGCCTTTTTTGTATGAAATAGTGGGCTTTTTTGAATATTTAAGTAATCATTAGAAAGAACTTAGTAAGCTCCTTCGAATGGTATGCCATATGTCGAGGGTCCTTCAGGTGCAGCAGCACAAATTCGGATGGCGTTCAAAAAAGTCTGTCTGACTTTTTTGAAGCGCCGCCTGAAGGAATGTCGGTGAGGTGCTGCAAGGTGCTGTCAGGATAACCTGTGAAGGTCACTTTATACAAAAGCGTTCAAATTGCTGGTTGTTCATAGCAATCAGAAAAAGATCTTGAGGAATTTTCAAGAAAATCAAGGTGCCCCATTACTTTTGGATCACCCTAATATTTTGATATGTATTTGCATAGAGGGGTGCTCGACCGCTACAGTAACGCCTTATCGTGGTGCTTCGCTTTAGAAACCGGTAGACTAGCCGTTACTTCATAACAAATGGTTGCCGTGAGTACTGAATTTGGTACCTACCTCCTAGAGTCTACAGGAATCCCAAGATTTTGAGGTACTCTCCCGTTATCCAGACCCATTTTTTCAAAAAAGGCATTGCTTCTTCTCTTGTACCATATTTGACAAACTTCACAGGAAGGAGTGTCAACCTTCTGCCACGTGTCAAAAAAATGACATGTCATCTACATGTTTAACAGGTTTCATCAAGAGTTTGTGTTACCCTACCTAGCGATGTAAGTTCAATATGTTTTTTAGTCAATTTCAACCTCATTTCAATTAAACCGACTAGCCGGTTTAATTGAAATGAGTTTCAAATGAACATTGTTGTCATAATAGTAGACATACTATCATTGATGAACAGATTAGACTTGCTCAGGATAGAGAAGTGCGCTAGGATTCCGTCATTCAAGAGGCGAACTAAGCAGCAGTAAGGTACTTCAAGCTATCATTTATAGTCTTTTCGGCTAAACTCACATGGCGAAAAGGGCACTGCTAAAAGCAAGCAAGATGTTCTAAAAGAAGTTAATGAATGTTTTGCGCCTATGTAAAACAGTTAAACAGCTTCAAAATGATAACTCTTTTATCTCACCGGAAATGATTTCGAAAAAAAACATGTTAAAATGGACCAAAAAATGTCAATTTCTTCGCGGCAAGGAAGCAGTCTTCGTAAAATTCATGAATAATTATTCTTAGACTAAAGAACGTATAATATGAGAGCCTTTGAAAAGATGGGTCCGGATAACGGAAAAGTACCGAATTTGACTCCCCGCAATGTGCCGCATCCTGGACAAAGAAGATCTACCAGGCAATCGTAGTTTTTCGCGAACACATGCCGGATAGTATGAGGCTCTGTCAGATCACGACTATAGGTGAGTTGCGGCCATTGTCCGCGCATTGAGCTTTCTCAGTTCCCTTTCTTCTTACTAACGTCTGCGATCAGATATTAGCTCTATATTACCTGAAGTGATCTTGAAAAGTACGGGGTTCTTTGATTGATTTGAGCCTTCATCCTGCACACGCAATGGTTGCAAACTCACTGACTCTTTCGAACAGGCAGAGCCCGTAATCGCATGCCCAAAAGTGCCCAAAACGCAAAGTTCGCTCACTTGCGTGATGACTACAGTACCCACACTAATTATTCGACAGAAAACGCAAAAACTGACGATCCGCGTTTTTTTCGTTTTTTCTTCATAACTTCCTTCAAATTGCATAAAATACAAATCCGAAGAAAGCATGATGCTCAGCTCATCAAGATGAATCTTCTGAAATACTGCACTCTCGTACCATTCGGTTTGAATCTGCTCGATTTTTGTGTGAGGACGGGTATTCGTAGTGGTGTAACTCAGCGAAGAACACACATGGACGATTCATGTAAGCATGGTTCAGTAGTGCTTTCCCCGTAGATTATCATGTATTGGTAAGTAGCGAACTATTCCCTTTCCATAAGGAAAGATAGGCCGTTTAAATTTGAAAAAATCGATGTCTCTCAAATTTTCGTTACCGTAACGATACAGTAAGACGCTAATTTGCAAAGCAGGTGTGTTTTTCGTGATCAGCAGGTTAGATAACCTCTATGCGCAAGTTCTCCAAGGAATTCGGAACCTTTCATTTTTTCTCGTTCTGGGCTGTGAAGCTCGCCGACGGGTTTTGGCTAAAATATTGATGATCTTGGATTGGCCGGAAACTTTGGCCATAGAGGTTTTCGGACTTGCTGATTACAGAAAGAGTGCCCTCTGTGCAGCATAAGTTCTTTTGGCAGAGTTATGTGAGAGGAATGCTGCATACTACGCAAGTTCCTAACTTTGTCTGCCCTTTGCACGTGTCTGTTGGACAACTTACCTGCTCCTTTTTGTAATTTGAAATCACTAGAGGCAGTGCTCTTAGAGCATGCTCAAACTAGGCCCTTACCTGTATTGATCGCCGAACTGTGAGCTGACGAACTCACGTCCTCATGAAAATCGCTCGAAATCTTAAGATCGCATATTTTGGCTAAATATCGCCGCGAATGGTTACAGATGACTCTGATTGCAGATATTATGTTTATATACACATGTAAATTGATAATTTATGCCGCATACTGCTGTTCACCCCTTGTGCCAACTCTTACACCTGTAACTCAAAGTTTGCAAAAAATCGATAAGCCGATATCGACCGATGACGAAATGTAATCTATCAGACCAGCTCGGCTCCTAAGGCTGGGTTCATACTGATTCCCATGGGGTAGAGGAACGAACGCCTCAATTAGGCATCGCCTGCGCGGGCTGCTGGTCCTTTCGTCCTACTGTTGTGCATCGTGTTGGGACCAGTGGTCCGCGGAGGCGGTGCCTAATTGAGGTGTTCGTTCCTCCACCCATTCCCATGTTCCGGAACTGTTCCCGCATAGTCCCGCAATGTTTCCGCACTGTGCTGGGAACTATGCGGGAACATTGCGGGACTGTGCGGGAACAGTTCCGGAACATGGGAATCAGTATGAACCCAGCCTTAGGAGCCGAGCTGGTCTGATAGATTAAATTTCGTCATCGGTCGATATCGACTTATCGATTTTTTGCAAACTTTGAGTTACAGGTGTAAGAGTTGGCACAAGGGGGTGAACAGCAGTATGCGGCATAAATTATCATTTTACATGTGTATATAAACATAATATCTGCAATCAGAGTCATCTGTAACCATTCGCGGCGATATTTGGCCAAAATATGCGATCTTAAGATTTCGAGCGATTTTCATGAAGACGTGAGTTCGTCAGCTCACAGTTCGGCGATCAATACAGGTAAGGGCCTAGTTTGAGCATGCTCTAAGAGCACTGCCTCTAATGATTCCAAATTACAAAAAGGAGCAGGTAAGTTGTCCAACAGACACGTGCAAAGGGCAGACAAAGTTAGGAACTTGCGTAGTATGCAGCATTCCTCTCAGCATAACTCTGCCGAAAGAACTTATGCTGCACAGAGGGCACTCTTTCTGTAATCAGCAAGTCCGAAAACCTCCATGGCCAAAGTTTCCGGCCAATCCAAGATCATCAATATTTTAGCCAAAACCCGTCGGCGAGCTTCACAGCCCAGAACGAGAAAAAATGAAAGGTCCCGAATTCCTTGGAGAACTTGCGCATAGAGGTTAACTAACCTGCTGATCACGAAAAACACACCTGCTTTGCAAATTAGCGTCTTACTGTATCGTTACGGTAACGAAAATTTGAGAGACATCGATTTTTTCAAATTTAAACGGCCTATCTTTCCTTATGGAAAGGGAATAGTTCGCTACTTACCAGTACATGATAATCTACGGGGAAAGCACTACTGAACCATGCTTACATGAATCGTCCAAGTGTGTTCTTCGCTGAGTTACACCACTACGAATACCCGTCCTCACACAAAAATCGAGCAGATTCAAACCGAATGGTACGAGAGTGCAGTATTTCAGAAGATTCATCTTGATAAGCTGAGCATCATGCTTTCTTCGGATTTGTATTTTATGCAATTTGAAGGAAGTTATGAAGAAAAAACGAAAAAAACGCGGATCGTCAGTTTTTGCGTTTTCTGTCGAATAATTAGTGTGGGTACTGTATTTGGCACGCTGATCACGGAGTTAAAAACTAGATACTGAAGCCATTTTCCACAGCCACTATAGATACAGCGCAGTAGTGTACCCACTTTCGCCCCGGGGGGGGGGGGAGGGATTACAAAAAATTTTCCGGATAAAGGTGCATAGCGTTGGCCATGCACCCCGAAAAATATTTTGGGATGCTTCCCAAGATTTTTGCGTGCCCATAGCCCAAGCCCCCAAATTTTTTTTACAAAGCTAGTTTAAAAACATAGAAGATTTTTAGAAATTATGTGCTGGAACATGGTTCAGGGGAGTGAATCGACATGGTTCGAAAAAGTTCTATTTATTCCGCTAAACAAGGTTTTCCCTTTATATTGCTTGATTATTGAGGAAGGGATTGAAGGCTAACTACGAGTATAATTTTCTACCGCTGACCTCGCTGTTATCTTATCATGGAGTAATACCTACAGTACAAATCTTCTGAATGCGTAAGGGATTATTGACAAGTAAATCCAATGTTCACAACACATCAAATAGCGCCTCTGCAGTTCTAGCAAATTCGAGATTTTATCGACTTGACATACATCTAGGTAACCAGGGCCCGAAATAGATCTCAAGCAGGCTGGACTCGTTTTTTGGGGCAAAAAAGCAAAGGAGACATCGTTTGTGGGTTCAAAAAAAAAACAAAAACTAGGTTTTTTAGTAGACGTTTTCGATTTTGGGTCAAAGGGGACTTCGTAAAATGTTGCCAAGTCAGGGAGGACCTCGTTCATAAAAGCTTAGAAAGGGGTCGTGCCGGGCCCTGACGGTAATCACACGAAAAGGCTCTACGAGCGAAAGAACCCTATTTCCGAAAGGCTAATATCCTCAAATTTTGTACTAGACATTGCGCTGCATCAAACTCCCAGAGATTCCATATTAAAGCGAGTAGTCTGGAGAAGCTCCTGAGAATATACCATACAGCCACTGCTGATCGGGGGGCCTCGACAAATTTTTGATTTTTATTTACATAGGTAACACAAATGCGCAAATGACTTATTTATACAAATAATTAAAATGATTTTCAAAATTTTCCAAAAAAAAGACAGAGCAGTACTGTACAAAGAATTTCTCAAATTTCTTCCGAAACTTCGGGGTTATGTACTCGCGGATTTGAAAGCATCCCAAAAGATTTCAAAATTCGTGGTTAAGGAGGTCTGAGAAAAGCAATGATAAGTGTTAGCGAGGGTACTTGCACGGCTGCATGATTATAGGTTCAACAGTTCGTACTTCGTACATTAGAGTAACAGCGGTGCTCGATCATGCTTATCTGAACAGAAGATAGCTTACAAATCGCAATTATTCGCCATGATAGTAAGTTGCATCCCAAAGTGAATACAAAAAAGAGCGATTGCATCTACACAGTGAACATGGGCAATGAAATCAATTTTTTTACGAGGTGTTTGTCTAGAGCTCATATCAAGAAAAGTTACAGTCATTGGGACAAATACGACAACTTTTCATTCGCAGAATTTGTTGCAACATAACACCCGCGCTCATCGAAGAGCTGTTTAAGTATTCAGCTAATTTCTGGGACGATAAAGCTGGCAGTGAAACTTGCTGAAGCTTCGAGCAATATTTCACGCTCATGATATACTCTATACTGTGACGAGCGTTAACCAGACGATGAAGCTATGATGTCTTTTGAAGAAGGTAGTGCTGTGTTCGTTTTACCCAGAATGTTCGAACGGTATTGTAGTGTGCATAAAGAGACCCGAACATGATGACAACATTTAAAATTGACAAATTTTCATGTTCACAAACTACCACCTGCGAATAAAATTTGGAACGCCGAAAATAAACAGTTTATTACTAGCGTAGAAAAACAGCTGGACATGGACTTTAGACCTGATTCTTGCAAATCAGGGATGGAATGAGCGAAGGAGATCGTCGAATGCTACCCTCCTACCGTCGGCAAATGTCCTCGAAATGCGCTATTTCTCCTAGCAAAGACTGTACTAAAGGGTTAGGGCCTGTTCTCATTCATGAGTGACTATTACCTCTTCATTTGCATGAAAGTTTAACACTAACTTCACCTTCGAATTTGCAGTAACGTATGTTAACGTTCAAAGGCAAAATTCAGTCTTGAACTAATGCTACAGCATCAAGAAAGTTACCTTGGTTATCGTATCCCATTTTTGAAAGTATGTCATTTCCTAAGCCTGTGGCACTGCATAACTCAAGAACTCTCCGTTCCACATCAAACACGTGTTGATCGGGAGCATGAGGAGCCTATAACAATGGCTATCATTCTGACGTATGTCTCAAAGGAGTGAATTTACAATGCGGTGCATAGTTCTCTTTAGAAATTTAAAGTCATTTTCAATTCACCAATTCACTTCGCGCCTTTTACGGATACTAGACGTGTAACCAAGACGGTCATGTCATCCGAACGAATCATTTTATTAGGTTATCCCATGAATCTTTTCATATCTAGTTTTTCACTGTCGTAAGTCAGTTTTTTCTTGTATTTCTGATAAAATGCAGGGCACTATTCGACAGATCAAAGCAAGCTCTACAAGATGGCACTCAAAAGTTCGCACAAAGCTTTATCCCCATCAAGTTTCAAGCCAAAATATAAAAGTTTCCGAATTTCCGAAAAAAACGAAAATTATCATATCTTAGTTCAAAACAACTCATTTGCTCACGCATATACCCTACACATCGGACATTTATACATGCACTTGCCGCATTTTTCCGATGGCTAGAAAGCAAGAAAAAATAGTGAGCTGAATTTTCAAACTTAGCCTATAGCTGTTCTGTGTTCCTCGCTAATATGTGGTTATTTAGCTTAACCACTCTGGAATACTGCCACAAATTTTCAACCTTGTAGGTGCCCTAGTCTTGAGAAATATCGTTTTAAAGTTTCGAAAATGAACACTTATGGGACAACCTAATAATGCAGCAACAATACAGAGTCGCTTCATATTTTCTTAACAGTGAAGCACAGCATTAGACTGAGCAAATTATGCGCTTCCAGACTCATGAGAAAACAAATTGCTAGACCAGCTGACCCAAACTTACCGAGAATCAGTACCCCATGCTCACAGGAAATGCAAAAAAAAACTGACCTGCTTATGTAGTATGTCGGCAAGAAGCAGAGCATATTCTATGTTTGAACCAGATGGTCCTTTGCTATGAACTATCTAAATTATTTTTGTGACTGCAACAGAAAACCGTTTTCTGCAAGGCAAAGGCAAACGCACCGTTTGGCAAATGTTCTCCAATTCAGTTGGTCCAGCATGGTGCTCGCCATTACCGTATGACATGTACGCCTAAATCATGGCAAATCTCTCGATTTCATTCTGATCACCACATAAGCGTCCGCTCTTAGTAACCAAAATAACCGTAATACGTCATCTATACAAAATTACAAACTGATGAAAATGCTCATAGAAGATCGTACAACAAAACCAGACAACACTCTTACTGACCTCAACCTCGAATGGCTCAATGCTTCCATCATCTGGTCTAAACAGCATCTTCTTGAGCTGAAAATATCACACTTACCCAACTACTGGATACAGACATTATGACAATTCGGACTAACCGAGTAACCGGCTTTCTCACGAACGTCTAGATATTCTCTAGTAGCCACCACATGCTCCTTTGCCACTTGGAAAGCTAAGCCCCAGCAGTACGACTAAATTTGCTTGCATTTACAAACTGAAGGTGGTTCAGTATTAACAGAAACTGAGTGTTAGTAGAACAAACAGCGTGGTGCAGATTCTGATCACCTTCTCATCCGGTACCAGAGTGACCGTGCGACCAGGCTGAAAGTAATCGTTTTTGAATTGCAAACGTAAAGTAATTCCTTGGAGAAGAAGCCAACTCGATAACCATCCCACATAGCACTTGCTCAAAATCAAGAAAAGAATAGGGTACTGATCTATGCGCGTAGTAAATCTCAAATTATTGCTAGGAACGGAAAACAATGAAGATGGGCAAAATTTAAGAGTAATGCAGCTTTTCCAGCAGCTGTGTTCTCTGAGACCAACTGAGTCTTGAGAAGGTCTTGATTGTGAAATAATAATAACATTAGTGGGTGGAATAAACACATATTGTGTACGCGGGAGGGTTACTTGGTTGAGATACCCATAAGGAAAGAGAAGTCCAGGGCGGCCCGGGGAATATTTGAAAGGGGGGAGAGGAAGAAACACTATTTTCGAACGAAGAAGCGTAACGTTAACCAGACCTCCGGAAAGATCGATACGCTTGTCGTAGTTTTAGCTTGCCCCTTTCGAAGCTAATATATAAAATATGGAGTATTTGAAAAGTATAATCTTTGTATGCAAGTTAGAACAAGATAATTTCACAATTTTTACATGTAAATTCCCCATATACCCACTTTGACCAAGTATCCTTCCTTAGTCCATCTCCTTTCCGTAAAAATTCGATTACGCTACACACTGAATACAAATCGCAATGATATTACGCACTACTTAAGATTTAATCGTGATATAGGAGAGACGCGAGATCAGAGACACACAGAACATCTTATGTTCTGTTCATCAATCTAATTTATATATCGTCTGGGTTTGGCATGGCTAAATTTCTCACGGCAAATCAGCTTCCGGTTCTATATTCATTTGTCTGATTCTTTAGTGTAAATTGTGGACGCACTCCGGTAAACTCATCATGATCTTTGATTGAAACTCAATATTTCTCATCACATTATCTCACCATTTCAGGGGTCCCGCGATGATCTGGACTCAGCTGCCAGAATCGACGAGCATATCCCTCGACGACACCAGGAATTTTCTGGAATCAAAAAATTGGTCTTTCTTCTGCAAAAGATGTAGGGTGTCCTCAAATCCTTAATTACTTGTGTGAATATACGAGAAGAAGGTGGCTTGTACGGTCAGAGGAGAAAGATAGGAAGTTCTTTTTATGTTTCAAAGTGAGGAAGCTATTTGATTGAAAAAAGGCTTGTTCTTCTTTTCCTTTCTTCTGTTCGCTGTGAGATTGTAGACACAGAAGTACTATACGAAGGCACTCTATGCTTTGAGGTAAAGATGATTCCATCATAACTTATAATAACGGGCTAAGGATGTATACGTGGTGTGTGTGTGTGTGTGTGTGTGTGTGTGTGTGTGTGTGTGTGTGTGTGTGTGTGTGTGTGTGTGTGTGTGTGTGTGTGTGTGTGTGTGTGTGTGTGTGTGTCGTAGATTATCTAAATAATCTACAACCTTTAGCATTGTAGATCTACCGTGTATGCTGTATTTAGTACATCTGTTAGCTTGTCGTTGACAAACCTTATTGTTCACTGACCACTTAAGCCGCCAGGTCACCTCTCCGCTGTGCTTGATAGTCTACTTGGCGGCGCCTACTTTCATGTAGGCAATCCTTCATGCTGTAGATACTATTGTTTACCAGAAGTGAGCATTCAGGTTATCCACGCCCAAAATAGTGGCATAAAAGGGCCTGAATACTCAGTTCTGGTGTTGGTTCGATTAATACCACTATCGTCAGCGGCTGTTCCGCATATTCACTGTTGATAGTCAGCGGCTGCTCCGCTACTATCGAATAAACAGTTATACAACGTAGTGGTACCAGCTTGGTGTATACCAAATTGGTGCATCGGCCTACGGATCACTTTCTGGCGTTTGCTACCCAGGAAGCTGATAAAGTCCCGCGTGGCAGGATCATATACCACTAATTAATCGAAAACCTCTTGCGCGCTCTGTTCGTCAGAGACCAGAGGCTAGTAAAGACGTTAGTTGGTGATCATTTACCACTGAATATTGAACCCCACTTGCGCGCTCTTTTCGTAAGAGACCAGTGGGTAGTAAAGAAAACAGCCGGTACTTTAGCTACTTGACAAATTGAAAACCCTCTTTGCGCGCTCTTTTCGTAAGAGACCAGAGGGCCGTAAAGGCGTCAATCAACAGTAGCTAACCACAGAATTTTCTGAAAACTTTCCTAGCGCGTCCTTTTCGTAAGGAACCAGGAAGTGGGAAAAATTTTTTTGTGAAAACACCCAAATTCTAGTGAAACTCTCTTGCGCGTCCTTTTCGTAAGGAACCAGAGAGCGGAACAGTTTTTGCGGTCAGAAGTCTCATAGTTCATTCAAGAACTGTTGAACTTCAAGGATTTCTCAATCCTATACTGGGCAAGGTCCAAACCTACCAGTCAGCACAGCGTTCAAGCTAACGGCACGCTTGCTAAGTAACTAGAAAAAGCTACGCACTCCACTGCTAAGCTCACTAGTGACTAGTTTTCTTGCACCCAGCAAGGAAAAATCCCACAGAGGTCCAGGCCCAGCCAACCTCCACAGTTCTCGACAGCTGCGAGTACTAAGTACCCAGCCAGAACTCTACTACAAACAAACACCTGCAGTGCCAAAGCACGCAGACGACGAGAGCGCAAAGGATTTAAGTCCATGCGCACAAGGCAGACGATGGCTGAGCTAACTCTATACAAAGCTCGCATTTCTATGGCCTGCTCATCAGTCAGCGGTCTTGAGGATAAGGTCCGCAATATTGATAAGGCTTTCGAATTTCCCAACACTGCAACCGAATGCAACTCCTTCATAGCGGATAAAATGGCAGAGATTGATGAACTGCAAATTTCCCTAACAGGTTTACTGGAGAACCTGGAGGCGCAAGTGCAAACTGCCATGAATTTTGTTGGAGCAAAAAAGGACCAGTCAGACAAGGACAGATTGATGGACGATTTGGCTACCTTCTTGAGCACAGAAGCAAACAGTCTACAACTTGAAGGCGTTCACTGGACAAATAGGCTGAAATACCGAATACGGGAACTGGAGAAACAATCGAATCTGATCCAAGCCCACACCCTAACGACGTCATCACGTTCTAGTTCAGTGAGAGACCCAGACACTGAGAATTACGCATCGACAAGGCAGTCTTCTGAGAACAAAGTACGACTACCGCAGCTCGAAGTTCCCACGTTTGATGGCAGCTATAAGGAGTATCCAACTTTCTGGACAATATTTAACTCGCTGATCCATAGCAACCCGCAACTCAGCAACGTGGACAAGTTCCTTTTCTTGAGGCAGGCATTGAAAGGAACAGCAGCTTCGCTTCTTGGCAGTATGCCAGTCATTGGAGAAAACTACGATAAAGCCATACAACTTCTCGATAAACGCTTCAACAAGTCTGGATGCATAGCAGATCTGCTTATCACAGAGCTCGAAAGGCTTCCACGAGCAGAAGAAGATGCCTACAGCTGCAGACAAGCTCTGATTAGTGTGACCGAAAAGCTCACTCACATCGAATGTGCAGGAGTTCCCTTGGACAACAACCGAATTTGGAGGCGACTAATACTTTCAAAGTTTCCAAACTCGTTGAACGAGAAAGTACTTTGCAAAGAGCAGAATGAAGAAAAATCATTCACAACAGAGGAGATCTTAGATGTTCTGGAAGATGCAGTCGCTTTGAAGGAAACCCTCGCCTTTACAACATCTGCATTTGGACAGTGCGATGTCGCGGGACGTTCCGATTCCGATCAAGCTATTGATGGAAGGCAGAACTGCGAAGAAGACTCGATCGCATACGATTCGAAACATAACCAAGGAAGTACATCTTCGAGAAATTCGAGTGCTCAATGCATCTGCGGAAGTTATCAACATGATGCGACGAGATGCACAACATTCCAAACAGCAGCAGAGCGACGTGATGAAGCCAGGAAGCAAAGGCTGTGCTTCAGATGTCTTCAAACCGATCACAGGATTAGTGATTGCACCAGGTCACAGTCATGCTACAAGTGTCACGGAAACCACCACACTGCCGTATGCATGGGTAACCATTCAGCGTCCAGAGGCACCCCAACCAGGCGATCACAGCAACGATCTGCTCGCGATCAACATCTCCCGAGAGACCCTGAATTTGCGCAAAATTCTGAGATTCTCCATAACAAGAGCACGAAGCGAGAAGGAGGAATACAGCACGTACTGATGACGGCGACTGCACTCGCATACGACCACACATCGACCAGATATAAGCCCGTGACTGTCTTCTTTGATGGAGGCGCACAAAAGAGCTTCATCAGTACAAGGAAGACTCAAGCTCTTGGCTTACCAGTGCTGCAAAAGACCTTTTTCAAGATTGGCGGTTTTGGAGGATCTACCGCAAATTTCACATCCAGTGAAGTTCCGCTTACACTGAGAACAACGTCTGCTGGAGTCGTTGGTAAAGCTGTGAAGATACACACAAAGTCAACACTCACTTCCGCCATGAGCACAGCTTGGCTAAGCGCAGAGGATAGAAGGTTGATTCAGAAAAGAAAGATTCGAGTAGCACAACCGGATCTGAAGACTCGACGGATCACACCGGACATTCTCATTGGTCAAGATCTGATCGATCAATTCATCTTGAGGGATCGACCATGTACAATTCTTCCGTCAGGACTTATTCTCACCCCTACTGTTTTCGGTCATGCAATCTCCGGAAGCAGTCCGATATATGGAATCAAGATGGAGGAGCATTCGCAGAACACCGCACTCACCATGGTCTCCTACAATCATCCAGTGAGTAAAGGAAACTCAGTGAAGCAGAAGCCAGCTAGAAGCGTCGAACAAGCTGAGCGCGAAACTTCCAAACGCCGAGCAAAGAAGCTCAGTCGTCCGTATCCGACGAATATGCTCGCACAACCTGAGAAGCCATCTAGGAAACACGAAAGCTGCCAACGTTACAGCGCATCTCGTGGACAACAATTCGATCGCAAACGCCGAAAACCAAGGGCTCAAGGACAATTCGTGAAGATGATTACTGATGCTCAACCGGGATGTCTCGCTTCAGCGTCGCGCCTGGCCCCGAAGGCCGACCACGACATGATGGCCGACCGCCTTACGAATCCCAGACGAAGAAAACGAACCCGTTACAGAAATCATGTGATATACGTGACTTAGCTAACGTTGTGATGAACTTTTGTAACCTACGTGTAACTTTTGTGATTTATATTTTCTTGCTTACGCGCCTTCCGTCGCGCGCCCCACTGTCGTAGATTATCTAAATAATCTACAACCTTTAGCATTGTAGATCTACCGTGTATGCTGTATTTAGTACATCTGTTAGCTTGTCGTTGACAAACCTTATTGTTCACTGACCACTTAAGCCGCCAGGTCACCTCTCCGCTGTGCTTGATAGTCTACTTGGCGGCGCCTACTTTCATGTAGGCAATCCTTCATGCTGTAGATACTATTGTTTACCAGAAGTGAGCATTCAGGTTATCCACGCCCAAAATAGTGGCATAAAAGGGCCTGAATACTCAGTTCTGGTGTTGGTTCGATTAATACCACTATCGTCAGCGGCTGTTCCGCATATTCACTGTTGATAGTCAGCGGCTGCTCCGCTACTATCGAATAAACAGTTATACAACGTAGTGGTACCAGCTTGGTGTATACCAAAGTGTGTGTGTGTGTGTGTGTGTGTGTGTGTGTGTGTGTGTGTGTGTGTGTGTGTGTGTGTGTGTGTGTGTGTGTGTGTGTGTGTGTGTGTGTGTGTGTGTGTGTGTGTGTGTGTGTGTGTGTGTGTGTGTGTGTGTGTGTGTGTGTGTGTGTGTGTGTGTGTGTGTGTGTGTGTGTGTGTGTGTGTGTGTGTGTGTGTGTGTGTGTGTGTGTGTGTGTGTGTGTGTGTGTGTGTGTGTGTGTGTGTGTGTGTGTGTGTGTGTGTGTGTGTGTGTGTGTGTGTGTGTGTGTGTGTGTGTGTGTGTGTGTGTGTGTGTGTGTGTGTGTGTGTGTGTGTGTGTGTGTGTGTGTGTGTGTGTGTGTGTGTGTGTGTGTGTGTTACGAAAATCCTAGAGCGAGTTCCAGCCAACGTCCTGAGCCCAAAATTTGCACATCGCATGCGACCAACATAGGAGCCTACCGTACAAAAGCACGAGTGGTTTTGTTGGATGAATCCCTCAGAAACTGCGCGTCAAACGGAACCACTTGGGTTCTGGCCAGCAAAATTTGTTCCGTATCACCACTTTTTGCGAAGTCGGTGATGTGTTTGGCATGCTGATGTGCAAGCCATGGATTTAAGTCCAAAAAAGTGGACAAAAGTTCACTACTTTAGGAGAACGACGCCAAAAAGAAATGGTTGCGTAAATGGTTAATTTGCCATGGTTTTACCTGAGCATTCGAGAAAAATTTTGCACAGAGATGTAGCTCACGTTGCCTACTGTCCTTATGGTAGCTACCAAGCCAGAAAGAGTCCAAAAACCTATTCAAATTTGTATTTGTTCTTCTGCGAAAAGTTTCATCCACGCGAAATCACCGATCTCACATGAAAAAACATTTTAAATGGGTAGTTGTTTACATTTTACTCGCGATAATCGGCACTGCGCGGTGCGTTTCATTGCCACCTTTAGTCAAGAATGAGTAAGGCATATGAAGTAAGACCAGTGCGAGCCTCTGCGAAGCAGAGGTGACGCACTGGTTATATATATGGTCGTTATAGAAGCTCGTTTGCTTTTGCAATCCCCTGAAAGGCTAGAAAAAAGTATCACAAAATACAGTGCTACAAATAAGGCCCCAAAATGTTCGTATTTCTGGAGTCGCAGAAATAACGAAAAAAGCATAAAATAAAAAAAGCATAAGCAGAGCCACATTATTTTTTCGAACAAACGGCACAAGTGAATTACAACTGATGCAAAGCCAGATGTAGTGAAGAGAAAGGCAGGACATAGGAAGCTTCATGACTCTATCAAATGTGATATAGTGACTCGTACATAATATGTCTCTTATTACCTTCACAAATTTGAAAACCAAGCAAAAATCGCGGAGAAAATACAAGGACTCAACGGAAAGAGAGACACCACCGTCAGAGCGCAAGCAAAATCATCCTGCGTTTCGAAAATCGACGCAACGCACCCGCACGATTCGTTCAGCAGGCGCATCGTTACGTATCAGTGGCGATCGCAGGATTTCTGTCCGGAGGGGGAGGGAGGGGGGCAAAAAAAATTCTTCAAATGAAGGTGCGCGAGTCAGTCACGCACTCCGAAAAAATTTTGGAGTGCCACTCAATAATTTTGCGTGTTCTTAACCCTGAAACCTTACAAAAAGGGGCGCGGCGGCAGCCACGCCCGGAAATTTTTTTACAAGGTTAGTTTGAGATTTCACAAATTCTAAAAATCATTTCAGTTGTTTACAAGAATAAACAAGTCATTTATACATTTTTATAAACCATATAAGTAAATTGAATAAGTTTCTACAAAAAGTAGTAATTCTCGAATTTCATTTAAATAGCTTGAAATAAAACTGTCATATACGATGAAAAGATACTATACAGATTGAAGCAATGCTCTGAGCATTTTTAAATGAATTTTTCACAACTTTTTGGCAAGACTTTTGCTCAAGTTAATAGTCTTGAAACTCGCGGTGTAGCAAAAAGGAAGATACTTGGGCAAGTAAAAAATTTCAATTCCATTCAGGCTACAAATGCATTGGCAGAACATTCGAGATCAGGTGCAGGAGCAAATAAATCTTTTGTTTCTGAGAATTGGAAGATATCAAAGAAGAAAGAGAATTTTCGAAGCACAGTTCATTTCGCATAGGACAGCGTTATGAATCCAGGGAAAAGCCAGAGCCCTTGGCGACAAATCAAGGAATAAAACTAGAAACAGAGTAGTAAAAAATCAGGTACTATGGCACTGCGCATTTTTGGTGGGTATAACAAGAGATATGCAAGAAAAAAATGGAAGCAATTACAACGTCATGTAACCAACAAAGCTTGGATGGGGAAGAAGACATATAGTACTTCCTTTGCCAAATTTCGTGAAAACATCTTACAGTTCACTCCGAGAAATCGGCGACGTGAGAAGGCATCTAAGGCAAGAGAAACTGAGAATGAGGTGAAGAAAAAAGAATAAAAATATGCTTTTACCGCAGATGTTTCAGCGCGGAAGTTTCACAGCCGTTTTGGAGAAAATTCTGGACGTGAAGAACAAAGACACTGCTTCAGAACTTGAAGAAGGTAAAGAAGATTCAAAGCATGGCCAGATCGGCATATTTAATTCGGTTATGACAAAGTTGAGGAAATAATCCTTTTCACTTCCGGAAAAATCTGAGGAACAGGGAAAACTTGATTGAGCAAAAATGACTGGATTTTTGGTGAACGAAAATCTTCGTAAACTTAAGAAGGGTAAATAAGAACACTATGATTTCGAAGAACTACAAAGCAAGGGGTGGATAGGGAGAAAGCAGAGGTGACCGAAGATACAATGACACCTAGAAAGAAATTGAGAGAAGCAGAGTAAACATCATGTTGACCGTTTAGACGGAAGCAGATGAAGATTTTTACAAATGCTCCTAAAAAATACCGACATTCCCATCCAACCTTTGGCGAGAATGAGAACAATTCCAGAATATTTTGTCGGAGTGAACAAAAAGAAGTAAGAAAGAATTTCAGGACTTTCAGCCACGTCTAGGAATGATGAGGGAATGCGTGCCTTCAAGAAACCTCGGGAAGAAGGATAACTACCTTTACGGCAATTTATCAGAATCTGGCTAACGGTGGAATGTAGGAGTGTGAGTAGGTTCATTTCAAGAATACACTTCGTCACCAGAATTACGACGGCCTCATCTTAAACAACGAAACGAACCTGAACATAGGGAAAATTGGGATTCCAAAGCAAAGATCCATAGCCGAAAATCCACATGGAGAGACAAGCGAAACTTCAGCCTGTACAAAACATCTATTTAAAAGCCGATTATCATTATATTATCAGCAATCTTCTTTGTGCAGCCAACTCGAAATGTAGAGTACGATATTTTTTAACATAGTTACGTTTCTCAAAATTTTATGTACAAGTCTGCTTTTTTTAAAGCATTTTCGTGTCAAAGTATGTAGTTTCTGCCAAGTTAAAAAAACAAAAGCGCTTTAGGAGCTCTCTTGAAGGCGTACAGCTATCAGCCAAGATATCATTCTTTTGCGAAATTCTGTTTCTTCACAGAACTGAGTCGGCCCCCTACTCTTCAGTTTTTTTTTCTTGGAGTAGTGAGGTTTGTGCATTGTTAACTGTGAATATTCGACAGTGCTACTCAAGAGCTTCTAACGGGTCAGCAAGCCCTGTATTACGTAGCTCAATGAGAAACTCAAGAATTGTTTGAGGCCAGAAATCCAAGCTTTTTGGCGGATATATCTGAAGAAGAACTCATCTTAAAAAAATTCATCTAATGATTTCTACTAAACGCAAGAGTGCACCTGATACGAAAAACAGAAAGCAAATCTTGGTGAGAGATGATCACTCTGCTTCAATAAAACTCATGTTAACAACGAGGATATCTGACCCGCGACTAAGAGGAAAATTAACACGGGGTACCGGGAAGCATGATTCGCTTATTTGAAAAATGAGGTCAATTACAGACATATGAGCACAGTACCGAATCCAGCTTATAAGAATAGACCATCTTAATTAACACATGGCCGGTGCGACCATATGAAAGTCAGAGTATATCTAGCTATGTGGTGGAAGACGTTCTAGAGGCGCAATTTCTCTATAGGTCATCAACTCAAAGGTTCAGTTAAGTGCTTATGACCTTCAAAAGCACAAGCATAGTGCTTTGGCTTACTATTGAAATTGTCATCTACTGTTTGGCGATAACAAATTTAAGATTAGTTGCATTCTCAAGGATTTTTCATCTTCAACAATTATGTTTCAAATTTATTTTGTGGTAATAAGACTCTACAACTCATGGGGCTACCTAGTGTATCTCCTAACAAATTTCGAATGCACTTAGAGCATTGTAAAACACAAATAATATGATAATTTCTATCCGGCTGGCAATGAAAGCCGCGCCTCTTGACTTACACCCCTATGTGGCCTGTACTCTTGACTACCTGGAATTTGTGTCGCGCTGGTCACAGCTGAGACGGAATCCACCCTAGTCCTTGGAAAAACTTCGCGCAAATCCACAGACAATTCGGCACTCAACGCGCGCCCCTAGAGGCTCGAGACCGTGCCAGGGTATCGGCCCGTAGAGAATATACCCTCCCGAACCCACCGGCTGCCACATGAGAGCAAAGAAGATATGCCGTTGTACTTGTGACTGATATGCATATTTCAAAGCACGCGCGGTATTTCACGCCAATTTTCAGGCAAATCTCTTACCTTATTTGGCAGGTTCCGAGGTTCCGGCGGGTTCGAATGAGTATTGGTGCATACCGGCGCGGTCTGAAGGCTGCTTAAAGGCACCTTCCACCCAGATTCTCGACTTCCACGTTTTTGTCGTCTCAGGGCCTTATCATGACCCTGATTCCGAATATGAAGTCGAGAATGCGCGAAAACCCCGACAATCCCCGTTACGGAGGACCCACAGGCCGGCTTTCCGGAGCGGTGATTGGATGAGCGCGCACAAATGGGCGAGCATGGATGGAGGTCCTCGTGCATCCTCGCTATTCCGAAGCGATCTTCTCGCTTCCGAAGCGGCATTTAGCGCCGCGACTTGGGCACTGGATTGATAGGGGGCCCTACTATTATATGCTGCAAAAGCTCAACACCCTCAACTTAGGGTGGACGGTGCCTTTAGTCACACATTAGCGCATTCACCTAGGGAGACTTGGTAAGTATGCAACAGCTTAAAAACTACCCATCTTTGCATAACACTTTCGCACCCGACTAATTTGCAAAACTATGCAAAGGAAGTGCGTGAGGTGTGTCCAATTTTAGGTTGCATATTTGTTCGAGCACCGACGTACCTACAGTCGAGTATATTTTCCGCTCAAAGGAAGCGTCCGGGCAAAATTTCGAATAAAAGTTTTTCGCTTACTTGGACTTAACTCCCGCTGATTCTGGAAATGCAGCTTGGAGGGCACGAAAACGCCGAAAATAAACATCTCCAGAATCTCTTGATTTGAATTTTGTCGCCTGCCGAGAAGGTTAAGACGCAGAGTCTTTGTGGAAACACGACTTGACTGTGTGCAGTATGCTCACTCTGGCTTATCGAACTAACTCGGCCCTGTCGCCACTTCTGAAGCGGGTTTCTCGCTTCAAAAGCAAATTGGTGCATTGCCAGTTGGGCAAGAGCCTTACCAGGACAGGCGCCCCTATACTCTACATTTTCGGATATCTACCCTGACGCTGCCTCTAATATAGTGTGCTGCTGTGCTGCAGGTAAAATGCGGTAAAATTTGCGCGTAAACAAATAGCCACGCCAGTAATGCCGGCATTTGGCGCGCGCAATAGGCTGGCGTCACGGGCGCAGCTATTTGTTCACACGCAAAATTTACCACATCTTCAGTGCAAGCGCATTATATTGAGCGGAAAATCTATTCGACTGCAATATACCTCGAATTACCCCACCATATGATAGCGCCCACTTTTTAGCCCCCATCAAGCGATGCGCACAATATTTCGCTGGCCGTCAAGATTCAGTGCTGATTCGATGGCAACGTGCATGCAGCCTCTAGTCACTTTCAAAATTAAATCGAGGTTCCTTTCCTTCTGAGAAGGTGTGCGATTCATCGCGCGCAAAGACAGCGCGTGACTACGGACGTGTCGGTGTCTCGCTGATCGAGCGCTCTTTCAACGGCGTCCAATCTGTACAGTCGAGTAGATTTCCTGCTTAATATAGTGTCCCTGCAGACGCGACGACGCTGGGGCGTCAATAAATCCTTGCGAGTTCCCAAGCTAGTGTTTTCCAGTGTTTTCTTTGCTTATTCTATACTTTTCAGGTGATTCGTTGCTGATAAAGAAGAAAAGGGCAAGTTAGAAAGTAGTTTCTGTTTTCTGAGAAGTTTTATCATCGCATATTCACAGATATCCACGTGGAAGCATTTCGCGTCAGCTTCTTGTCTATTTCTTTTTTGTCATTTCCTTTTCTTCTGTCACTTCTTCTTTCAAACCTCCTCCTTCTTGTGAGGCGTTTTTTGAACGCTAGTTGGCTTGTCTTGCAGCAACTTCGGCTTTCATCCATAAGAAATAGCATGTTAATCAAGTACTTCATATGATAAAGACAATAAATCAATCGTAAAAAACCATTAGCGTTCAAAGAAGTACCACAAGAAGAAAGAGACATGAAGTGACAAAATAATGGACAAGAAGCTGACGCGAACTGCTTCCACGTTGATATCTGTGAATATGCGATGATAAAACTTCTCAGAAAACAGAAACTACTCTCTAACTTACCCTTTTCTTCGTTATCAGCAACGAATCGCCTGAAAAACATAGAATAAGCAAAGAAAACACTGGAAAACACTAGCTCGGGAACTCGTCTCACAATTATTGACGCCCCAGCGTTGTCGCGTCTGCAGGGACACTATATTAAGCAGGAAATCTACTCGACTGTACGTGCAAGGAATCGCCTGTACGAGAATGACAACCCTCACAACTTTCCTAAAACTCAAAGATGCCGTCCACCCAGATTCTCGACTCTCAGGTTGTCGTTTCAGGGCCTTCTCATGTCCCATTACGAAGCCGAGAAACACCGCAAAAACTCCGAAAATCTTTAAAAAGAGCAGGCCGGTTCTCCGAAACTGTGATTGGATGGGGGATGGGAGGGCTTGGATCGGAAAAGCGGTGCCGCCTGGGGGTCCTCGTGCATCGTTATCCGAAGAGATTTTCTCGCTTATGAAGTGGCATTTTGTGCCGCGGCTTGCATTGGCTTGACAGGGGTCCTACTACCACAAGCTGCCAAAAGCTCAAGGTTCTAACTTAGAGTGGACGGTGCCTCCAAGACAGACGAACTCAAGAGTGTTGTTAAAATTCGCTGCTTATGAGCCGGTCGATGCGTACTCGAGAGGCTGCAGCCACCCTTCGCGTTCTTATCTTGCGAGCTGATTTCTCCTTTTGGAAGTACTTCTCGCAGCAAAGCCATTTATCCTCATTGTAGAAGACATCCTCCTCATTTTTTAAGCAGGTCGGCTGCACCATGTGCTTCGGAAAATGATCGCTGTCCCACACAATTCTTTTAGCTAAGAAGCAGCACAGTAGAGAGTCTTTTCCTCGCGAATTCTTTGTGTTCAGGCTAGTTGAGTTTGGAGAAAACTTGTACTTGTAAATCTAAGGTGCTCGTTTCGATTTCGCTATTGTATCGTACAACTCTCGCGCTACCTCCAACTTTGTCTGAAAATTCTGCCTGAAAAAAAGAGGCAATAATTTGCAAGAAATGACTTCAGATAGCAACAACAGTTTAAGATATAGAACTTCATTCCTGGAGAAGCAAGCTTTTTACACGGTAGGAAGCTTTTTGATCACAAATGTTCACCATGATGCAGACACCGGATGAGAAAATACAATAGAAACAGGTCATAACAATCATCGACGATGAAATAAAGGCAATCGAAACTGATGAGGAACTCTAGCAATCACTAAAACATGTACAACTTCACGAGATTTATGTACAAACAAACTTTCATATAGCGTCCGGCGCTGGATCGGAGTCGCATGGAGTGTAAACAGCAAATCTATTTCGTACAACGGTTGCAATTATAGTAGCAATCATATTTGTTGAAGCCATCGCACCGATACCTGAGTCTCCACACATCAATTCCTTCTCCATCGGAGGAATTTCCTGAATACAATTTCTGATGTAAGAAGTCAAATTAAAAAGTTTGCGTACAAGCACAAACGACTCAAATTGCATTAACTGATAAGAATATTGCAATGCGCAATGAATACTGCCACAACTTGCTCTAAATAACACACTAGGCTATTTCAACGTAAAATCACCCGCGATTTGCGTATAAGAACTCAATCAAGGGGTGAGGTGCACATGGGTGCACATGAGAGGAGACGAGCAGATAAAACTATTTTATTACGTAAAATTCAAGCGTGATTTCAAGATAAGGAAATTGAGAGTAAACCTTGATATGAAAAGGACACAAACCTTATATCGAAGAAGATCCTTCAGTGTGTTTCTGTGTTGAAATGTAAGTGGATTCTCCCACATCATGGTGTTCATGGCTGGTGCAAAATATAACGGCTTTCGGGGATCCCATGCTCGAACCTGGCACACATTCGCTCAAAAGAGCCAGTAGACATAAGACAATTCTTACAAATGCTGGATCTGAGTTTGGCAAAAAGCATGCCCAGAATCCGCACTAGAATCAAACTTTGGCAGTCGCCACAGTAACCATTTGAATTCGTTAAAATCAAATAGTACGACTGCACTCACCACTGATGTGACAAGATTGTCGTTCATTCCCATTGCAATTTTCGCGAGGGTGTTTGCATCCAAAGGGGCGATCAGCATAGCATCCGCCCACTTCCGCAGTTCTGAATTGGGAAATCAAACACTTTTTATATCAAGGTTTTACAGGTGCGTACCAATATGAAGTACTGGATCTCCTCGTCCTCTCCACATAGACCACTCATCTCTGTCCTCATAAATCACCTCGTCTATATCAAAATCTTGCGTTTCGATCAAGTTCATTGCTGATTGAGTGGCAGCCACCTAAGTTTCAGCAGCAATAAATGGCAGTGAAATGCGAAACTAAGACAAGGACCTTTATAATAAGCTTATTTTCAGGACAGCTGTGATACAGCTTCTGTATCAGCTCCTCCAGTTTTATAACAGCAACACTTCCGGTGACACCGATAAGAAGGTGAAATTTCCCGCCAGATTTTTGGAGTTTATGAGATCTGGTGAACGGAGGACGGCGATTCGAATCCTTAAAACATGATATGAACATTTGCAGAAGCCTATACTGCCTAGATGAAACTCCGGAAGATACCAGCTCAAAAGGTGCTTATCTCACCATTGTTGAGCTTCCCTGATCGTTTTCGTCGGAGTTATCTGCTACACGGCTCTTTTTGGCATCTGGCTCACTAACCTATAAACCTTGAGTGAATCACTGCACGTGCAGATGATACTCCAGCATTTAGATGGACTACAACTCTGTCACGCTTCCCCCCTTCCCCCCCCCCCTCTCCTAGAATTATCCCAGATTACTGGGAGAACTAAATCACTTTTGAATTAGATAGACTACAATTCCGTCACTCTTCCCCCTTTTCAAAATCTATCCCAAATGGGAAAACTAAATTACATTTGCAAAATTTGTATGCCTGTGACGAAATAAGTATTACTAGAAGTGAATCAATTCAAAAGTATGGCGATTCATTCATGCCTAACAAAAAAAAGGAAGCGCGGCTCATGTATCACGGCTGCAAAGGCCCGGAAGTATATACACTCTGACTTCCACATAGTCAATTCATGCATTTATTCACTAGTTATAGGGTTATTACTAAGGCCCGTATGCACTAACATTTTTGCGGCGAGGGGAGCGGCGTCCCCAATGATGAAGGGGCCGCGTGCGGACGCCGCTGCGGCTTTTTCATCATTGGGGACGCCGCTCCCCTCGCCGCAGGGATGTTAGTGCATGCGGCCCTAAGGTGCGTATGCACGTACTCCCCGCTGGGGAGGGGAGGGGATCTGAGAGGGGATGCGTCATATCTCACAACTCTAGATATCTTTCTTATTCCTTCTCTATCTTGCTTATGAAGGATCTCATACTCTTATACCTGCGCGTAATGGATGCCATGTTGCCATACAAGACTGGTTTTTGCCATTTCTGTGTGATCCCCTGGGGATCCCCAGGGGATCATCTCTCATTTTCAGACTTCTCAGGAAGCCAAATGACTTTGAAAATAAGAGGTGATCCCCTGGGGATCCCTAGGGGCCACACAAAATGGCAAAAAATCAGTCTTGTATGGCAGTAACCTGGCATCCATTACGCGCAGGTATAAGTGTACGAGAACCTTAATAAGCAAGATAGAGACAGAAGAAGAGAGATACGTAGACTAGCCAAATATGACGCATCCCCTCTCAGATCCTCTCCCCTCCCCAGCGGGAATGTACGTGCATACTGGACTAAGAAATAAAAGCAAACTACTTGTTAGTTCTATACACATACAGAGCACCTCTGAAAAAAAAAATCAAGAGCGTTCTCTAGACCTCCCGCTCCCGCACCCCTTCCAGTCCGGGTTTTCCCATGAGAGCTTGCAAATTTTGCTATTAGGTTGGCACATAAGTTTTGCAATTCCCGTAATTTTTTTCCTATTTTATGCAGCAATCTCATTTTGTGGCATCTTGTAGATCGTGATGTAAGCTGCAAGTCTGCGCAAACCGTTTGATTTTTGATAACGTAGTACAAAAAATCTAAGCATTTTTTGAAAACTGCTGAAAATCGAAGTTTCACGATTTTTTGGCAAACATGAAGCCCTATGAAACCTGATTCAAACATATGAAAAAGCAATTATAGGCTGCATGTAGCTGGAAATTGGCACATTGTAATCAGTGAAAAAAAAATGAAATTTAAGCAGAAATTAAGGTGGGGCGCCTTCGAAAAGTTGAACAAGTCAAATGCGTCAAGTTTTGAAGGCAATTTGTCAATAACTAAGCTGCGAAAAGTCAGAATTAGCTGTAACTTTGCAGTATAGGGCAATCCTATGCGGTAAACACGAATATCATATTCATTTGTCGCTAAAATGAAATTCATTTTTTGATCTCACGAACGAGGCCTTTTCATGCGAAACGGATCTCATTTTTGTGATCAGCATGTCAAATAAGCCCTATAGGCCAAGTTTCAGCAAAATCTGATGCATTCTAAAAATTTTCCCATAGTACCGTAAACCTACCGTAATCCTCACATAAGATGGTAAAATTCGGCAAAAATGTGTGCATTAGAAGCTTACATCATACTCCTTATATTTCCGAAAAATGAATGCGCTATGTTCAAATAGACAAAAGTTATATAAAAAGTTGCATTACTTATGTGCCAACCTAATAAATTGATACGAAATGTAGAATGACAGTGTGAGCCGCTGCAATGAATAAGCACTAGACTATACCAAACTCACGTTTCCGTTGAGCTGACTACCACCTTCGTTCAATGAATCAGCCTGAACTGTACTTGGAGATGAGCTCATTCCGTTTGTAACAGGCGGAACGGTCTTCTGAAGGAAATCAAGCAGAAGATGTGAAATCAGAGTGTACGATGAAGATGTATAGAGTGGGACTACAATAAATGTAAGTATCAGTAATATGTTAAACATCTCAGACATTACATAAGACGCGAATATCATGGAATGGCTAATATTCACAAGTTTCCCCTGCTGTTTGCCGTTATCATTGGCGATGCCATAAAAGCAGCGCGGCCATGGACTGTACTAACTTCAGTAACGCGAAGGGGGGGGGGTGTTCGTCAAGAGGCGCGATTTTTATAATTGATTTCGAGTAGCGCTACTTAGTATCAAGTAACGTTTTACAAGCTTTTTGATTTTCCAAAAAGTTAAACACCAGATTCACAGAATAAATTACAAACATAAATAATGGAAGGCAATAACCCTCTTTTTGTAAATTTGTGCCTAAGCCTATCCACTTTATCAAAATAACTTTTTTTACAATCCAACAAAGGCATGCTTGCCAATGAGCTATTAATGATAAGAACGGATATATATATACATATATATTAAATATAAAACGATACTGCTGACGACTTGTTTGCGTACGAGTTCATTGTGAAAGTTTTATGCACAATCAAATGAACAAAATCACCACTCGAATGTTTTGTAAATATTTCAAACACTAGTTTCTGACTTGAAAAGCGATGAACTGTACAGCATTTTACAAGATTAAGCGATCATTTGACAACGACAACTTCATGGTTAGCCTAAGCAGATACATACAGATTATAAGATAAAAGCAAGATATCTGTCCGCAGATGAAGAGCAGAGGCATGATCTCCTTCAAAGCACTACTGAAACATAATAAAGATAAAGTTACAATCAACAACCAATCTGCCGCTGACATTGATGTGTACAAGGAGGATGCACTATGAGCTGTGGAAAAGTGGAAATGAATCCACGTCATACAAAACAACGATTGTCTACGGAGAAGAAGAGCAAGATAAAAAGTACGTTTCCAACATTCAAAGATTAACAGCACCCGCGCATCCGATAAAATTGGTGAAACTTGTACTTTGTTGAAAAAATTCAAGCACTCAATCTTACACTCCTTTCTCGAAGACACGGTATATATTGTAGAGTCACATCAATTAAGCTATTGTTCCAGGTCAAGCTATTCATGTTTAATCCCTTTCTCCGCCAGAGCCTGTATATAAAATATCAAACCCAGCAACTAATAAAGAAAGCGACATGATATACTCACTTGATCGGCCAAAGAACGCAGCATATGTACCGGTCCTGCACTATTTGTGGGAACTCGCTGAGCCAGTTCTCTCAGAACATATTCAATGCTGATCTCATCGTTTGCATTCCAGCTTGATTTGGAGGTTTCTTCGGTTATTACATCTGGAAAGGATATGCACTGAACAGATGGTAAAACACTTGCATTGCTGTTCTTTTAGCAAAGTGCTGATTATCACCAGACGGTAGCATTTGCAACGGTTCAATGAGACGAACACTCAAGGAGGAAGGGTCATGTGGACTCTACGTTTTGCAGATCAAGTGGAAGACAACTGAGTACAAGCTGTGATGTATGTGGAGCATGTTCTATGGGAGATGTCCAAGCGAGCGGCGCGTACCGGCGATATAACGTCCTCCATGCTTGGTGTTCTCGCAAAAAGTGTGATCTTGACAGGATAGTAAAAGTCGGCCAAAAGCTGCGTCCGGTCTTTGATGTTTTAGACAAGTAGGTAGCCAATGGAGCTACCGTCGAGTAAAACACAAACTATGGATCACGCGCAATTCAAAAGCAGAAAAATCCATACTGAAAAAAATGCCGCTCAATTACTGATAACCTTCAAAGTGGAACTATATAGTCGCTTTACAATGGTCGAGCAGTAATACAATGCTTCGTCCATTAGGATCAAAGCCAGCAATGGAAATTATTATCAATTTTTCCGGATAATGCGAAAACTCCAAAGCTGTCAATGATGAAGAGTTGAACATAAAATGCGTAGAGATGTAGTAATCTACTTGTTCTGCTAACGTACCATTGATAGCACTGAGCATCTGAGCTTTCCAAATCGCTTCTGAGGCGACTTTTTCTTTGTCGATTGAAGGGGCAGCGTCGAAACAAACCACAATCATGGTCATATTATCCCGAGATCCTTTGCTTAGGCAAGCATCCAGGACCTGAAAATGCAGACAGTACGCAAAATGTACATCGGAAAAAGAGAAGAAACATTGAAACCATGTGAAGTGTAAGAACGAACTTACATCGTTGCAAACTTGGATCAAATCATCACAAACGTGAAGCCGGCTTTCAACAAACCGACACAGCTCTTCATTTTCCATCACATCATACACACCATCGCAGGCTACCACGAGGAACTCATCCTTTTCCTCAAATAATTTCGCTTACTGTGAGACTTTTCGCAGTCATATAAATACAAATAACATATTGCATCCTCATATGCTTGGAGTTGAGCTTGGCGTAAGCTACCAAAGTAAGCCTCACAGCTAAGCTGGCGCCAAGGACCCACAACTTTACAGCGGACATGAGTAATCACATATAGCACCATACTAGCCGCTCCATTACACGCATTTCCCTCGGAAAAAATGCCTTCCAGAAAGTATGCATAACCTATGCAAAGTATGGTTCATTTTTAAAATCGTGACGACGAGTTGAATGCGGTCTTTTCTTTCCCCACATAGAAGAATAAAACACCCGTACAAACAGACAACACCTCAACTCTAAGCCCAGTCATTTCTAGTGCCAGTATACTGTCATATGTAAGCAAAAAAACTATTTGAGTAGAGATAGAAAGCAAGAAATTGGGAGTGCGTGCGTGTTGCGCGCGTCGCGCCGTCACGATTTTTAAATGCCCTATACGTTATGCGCGTAGCCTGGATTAAAATTCTCCGGTATGGGATGTATATTACCACGTTACGCAAAAGATTACATTCGCCCCATGCACCACAAAAAATAGTGAAGATCTACTTGAGCTTCTAACTTGAGCCACATTACGAGGGGTCTCCGTCTAAAAACTGAACACATAAACGACAGTAGGCAAGCCCGATCTTCCGTGCTTCCTCAACCTCAACTGCTGCGTCCGGCCTTCCCCAAACCCTTACTATTTTTATTGTAGAAAAAGCTTGAGTACGAATCTGTAAGTCTGAACAACCTAAGCAGACGACACACTCCACATTAACAGGACAGAAATAGTACAATATACCTTCTGCCTCTCCAGAACGTAGACATCCGGCTCCGGTGATACGAGCTGCTTACAAGGTTCCAGCCCCGGTACGTTCTTATACTCGAAGTCGCCCAGGGCTCTGAATGCTGATTAATCAAACACAGGCAAATTTTACAAACATCACAAAGACAAATCAAGAAAGCCCAAGGCTGTAATCGTTCAGTCTAAGTAACGATGAAGAGCAGCAACATGGATTTAACAATTTTTTAATGTAGAAACAATTAAAGAATACCTGCTGACGGCCAAGCTGCCATTTATTCTCTGGATCATAACAGAACCACCAGCTCCAACTATTCTTTCCCTTTCTTTGTCATGGTAAGGCTGAATCAGTGGTTTGCGAGAAAAGATACTACGATTCGAAACGCGATTCTTTTCTAATTCAAAAAATGATAATCACAAACTGAAGTGCCACACACCTTATGGTCTTCAGTACCAAAAGAGCCTTCATCTTTACGCGATACCACAGCGCGTGAATCCCCTAAAATATTCCGAATAAATTTGCTGAAGCATGGTCGATATAAGACTTCACGCACCTAAATTGGCGATGACTATATGTGTTGGAGTGATCATAGCGCACACAGCCGTTGAGCCACTACGATCCTGAAGTTTTGGATTAATAGTAGTCATAAGATCTGTGATGGCTGTTTTACTCACGGAATCAAGCCTGGTTCGTATATTTTCGTCCAGAATGAGAAAACCAGCTTTTATTCCATCTTCCAGCAATGCAATAGTTTTGTCACAAAGGACACCGCCATTGGCTTTCAGCTCCTCAGTAACCTTAACTAAGAGTTTGAAGACGTAAATTTAAAATTATAGGCGGTTCATGGCACGCAAAGACTGCGGACATCGGCGTCTCTCTGATCGAGCCCTCTTTCGCTTCTCTTACCATCTGCTGCCTCTCCCATGACGAACTATCTTGGCCGGACGCAACCGCGCCCAGCCTTTGCGTGTAATAAATCTTGTATATGTCTGATGTATTGAGTGAGCATCAAAAATCAAGCAAGAAGGAACCGTGCGTCATCTGTGTGGTCTATATCTACGTCTCAAAGCACAAACGCACGCAGAAGGCAACATGAAGTTCAGAGTTTAGTCTGCTATTTTATCACAGATTATCAACAAAAAAAGATGCAAAAATACGTCACAGGTACAGTATGGTGATTGTTTGATATCAAAAAAAAGGGGGTAATCATCCCACTCACTTTCTCGAATTGTGGTGTTTCCATCAAAGTTTTCATTATGTTCTCTGCCGCATCATCGGCAGCAATATTTCCAGCATGTCCATCGAAGACTGCAAAAAAGGACCAGTCCTTGTATGGTTCACGATCCGCCATTGACACCTAAACTCATGAGTAAGGCAAATACAACGATAGATATAAACTTTCGCAAACCTCAACTACGTGGGCATCTTCCATGTCCACTCTCCATCCTTGCATGCTGGCCATGGCATACCGAAGACCCTAAAAAGTAGGACAGCATTATGAAAAGCTCTGGCCTCTCTTTCGAATGAGATTATCATTGAGTTTTCGTTACAGCAAAATTACTATATTCGCAGCTAACTTACACACTCTACATGTTTATGTTTGCGTTGTATGCCAGTGGGTATGCCACAAATAGAAAATTACACAGAGGAATCTGGAACAAACTTTGCAAATATAAAGTAGGACAACTTAAACTTTTTTCATTAATTAAAATCTGCTTCCTAATTTTTTGACAATTAATAGAGTTGAAAGCCGGTAAGAAGGGATGAATTGAGCAGCTGATTAAAAAAAACACAATATTCAACATTGTAATTATAGAATGCCTACATAGCTGGGAGCTGGAAGTTGGCACAGAAAAGTGATAGCAAGATGACTGAATGTAGAATGATTTGCAATCTCATCCGCTGTGGTATTTATCTATTTTTTTACAAACCTCCGAACGCTGAGAGGTGGTGAAGTGGGGTAAGTGAGCATGCTAATTACGAAAGTGACATTTACTTGGACAAATACCCGCTGTATTTAATACCAACTTTAACGATACTTCAGGACAATTTTTGAGAAAATATCGACTGTATTGATTCAAAAAACTTTGAGCATGAAGCATTCGAATGTACTTCACTCAATACGGCCCTGGCCACACTTCGCTCAAAAGCGCTCAAAAGCGCCCGAAGGCGCCCAAACTTCTCCAACCTCTCCTCACTCTCTTCTCTCTCTCTCTCTCTCTCTCTCTCTCTTTCATCTCTCCTCACACGAGAAAGTAAGGAGACAGGAGAAATTTGGACGCTTTCGAGCGCAGTGTGGCCAGGGCCTACCAGGTTACTCGAGATATGAATTCTATTCGATCAACCAACTATTCGAGATTTCAGATTTTCGAGTACATACGGGTGATCGAAAATCACTTGCATTGAAAATTAGATTATCAACAAACAAAAACCATTTAAGTATTGGCACTATACTTCGGATGGTATCAGATGAATGCGCAAATATTCACACTGGACATCGGGTCGATCGAAGCAACCGAGAAAAATCCATTTGAAGTCGACTATTTAGAATTTACTCGAATTTTACACATAATAAAAATCGATTGATCCACTTCTGTGTCCATACATTCGCTTACGATAATGTTCGACTGAACGATCATTGAAAAAACCTTAGTAATCCAATTAAACCACATACAGACAAATTTGAGAGCAGAAAATATTCAAGCAACTCACATTGCCTTGGCCAGAGCAGTTCGTCTTCGCCGTTTTTGGTTTGTCAAGAAATGCTCCCATTTGGGCTCTGTTTGCGTCAGTTATTTCCACCAATCCACCAGGAGTTAGACGCCAAGTACGAAGCGCAGGACGCTGGGCGAGGGTTATCACTGTAAGTGGCTGATCTTCTTCGGCGTTTTGGGATTGAAGCGATGTGCCTAGACAAGATGACATCCCATATTCTCTGAAAAGGACTACATGCATGCAATGGCAGAAAGCCAGAAGAGGATAGATGGTTTCTTCCACATATCTAGGTTCTCCCTCAAAATTATTCGCGTCAAGATATGTGAGCGCGATTCAACAAATGGAAACATAAGAGAGTGTCGACATCGCACTATCGAACACCAATTTCGAAAGTAGTATTTGACGGTCATCTCTTACTGTTTCATGGACTTGCACTTGTCTCAGCCTTCGCTTATTGTTTAATTCTGGTGACTTCACGTTCTTCTACAAATCAAAAAAATTGTTACTCATCGCGCATGACGATATTAGCCATGCGGATTCTGTGCCAAAATAAGTACCTAATACTTTACTACTACTACGGTAATACTTTGATCCCGCAGGATAGGAGTGACAGAAGAATTCAAAACACAACACTTGATAGTAAGTGCTTAGGGACGCGTCATATTTCGACGAAAACCCAAAAGCCCCCCCGCCCCCCCAAAAAAAAAACCCAAAAGCGGCAGAAAAAATCTTTTGCGCGCAAGTTTTGGCGCTAAGACATGTGTGTTGATTTGCAACCGAGTAATTTGCTTCATTTTATGTCGTTTGCACATCAAAATAATGTCAGAATTCTAATAAAAGTCCAGGAGCTTCCCGGCTCTTTCCGGCGCTTCTGGCTTTATTTGGGTTTTTTGGGCGCTTCTGGGCTTTTTTAGGCGCTTTTGGGCTTATTTCGCTTTCGGCTTTTTTCGGCAAATTATGATGGGTCTCTCACCACAAACTCGACTCCAATACCTGATAGGTGCATTACTCAAGTGATACTAAAAGGTGCTAGAAGTATAGGCGAGCCTGCTGGAGTGAATCACCAAACTTCATATTGAAAACTAACCAACTGACTCGAGGCTCAATTTAAGCTCTTTCGAAAGTGCAGGAGAACCTGCATTGATTTGATACTCAAAACTCATTACAAGCTTGTTCCACGAACGTATAAGCTCTTTTCACGATGAAAACAAAGGAAAGGAAATCTCCTTCAAAACATTTGAATCGCAGAAGAAAAGAGCTCTATAGTTGAAACAGGAGTCTCTCGTTAGTATACAAGGTGTCCAAAAAATGTGACTGTTTGATCATTGGTATCTTCCATTGCTGTCATTCCCCGATCATTGAGTATCATTTCTTCAACCTAGACTTGCTGGAGGGAATCATCGAGCTCTTTTCAGCACTGTAGGGTTACGGTGGGGACGTCGATGGGGATTTTGGGCCATTAAGAGAGAAACGAGAGAAACTTGCCTCAGAAAGAAAAACCAAACAAAAAACTCATATTTTAAACGAGTCCATGTCGCAGATTTCGAGTATGAAGATTGCACTTTACTGTGATGCTTCTTTCTTAAGCTATACCCAGTCAACAATAACATCTGCTTCTAATGTTAGTCAGAATGTGATTAAACCAACAGAAAAGCCCACAAAATAAAACCTTAAATGTTGTGTAGTAATATCAACATGAGTGAAAACCGTCCCACACAATCAATTTTTTGAAAAAATTTCTGTCATACAACCTGTGCTCCATGTTCTGAATGCTCGAAGTTCCTAACGTAACCCTACAGTACGAAGAGCATAGGTAGTTCGCTCCCTACTGTAAATCTAAGGCCTAAGGCATACTTCACGCGATTCCAGTCGCTGCGCGATCTGGCACTGCAGCGACTCTTCGTAACTGGTCGTTAGCGCGCTTTGCATGGGCCAAACTTAAAGCTTTTGCTATAACTTACGGTAGCTACGGGCCTATGCACTTAGGAACCGTACACGATTGATCTGTAAATATCTGGCAAACGCCAAGTCGCGTGGATGTAGCGATTTGACGAAATCGCGCGAGGTATGCCTTAGGCCTAAGGCTGGGTTCTTATGATTCGTTAGTTGCGGAACAGTTCCAGCGCAGTGCTCGAAATGTGCGCTGTGGTGGAACTGCGTCCGAACTTACGGATCAGTATGAAATCAGCCTAAGTTAGCGCCAGTTCACAGAATGTTACCCGATCGACGAAAGACCAACGCACGCGAGTCATTAACGTCAATAGTGTGCACATTATCTTGAAACACCCTGCATATTACGCTTACGCTATATTACGCGAATAACTACGTAGATTATCCTCTAGTACAAGCGAGTGAAGGCTTAATAGATTTTCTACTTATACCTCTCCCATCATTTTCAAATTAATCGTGTCTGTTATGAATATGCGCAAACATTGTACATAATCGTTACACATATAAGCAAACGACTTTAGGCGAAAGAAGGCAAACGCGCTTGATCAAAAATTGTGCTTTGGATCGAATGTATTTTCCTTTTCGAGACTTCCAAGAAGAATAAGCTAATGTTGCATATCTGCCTATATCACTCATCAATAAATAAATCGACGTCACGGTGAGATGACAATTATTGCGAAACTAGGCTTTTTTTCACGTGAACGATAAGGAGCACTGAGCCTTCGTGCAGTTTTGGCATAACCACGACAGTTCAGCGTAGGACCGAACCAGCTCGAAAGACTCAAGATCAAACCCAGTGGGAGTTTCACCGAGTTTCATAAGAATAACAAGATGAAAGAAAGAAAGAGAGGGAGCATGCCTCTTCTTCTGCAATGTGACATCCGCAGACATGAAAAGGAGGGTATACAAACAATCTCGAGCGGCCTGTGTAAAGCAACTCAATTTCGATCGATAATGGGATGCAAAGAGAACAACAACAATATGAAATTGAAGATGACGACACAAAAAAGTGGTTTTGCGCCCATTACATGCTATTTAAAACAGACTGGCCGACAATACCGGCGACCACCAGGAAAGCAAATGCAGGAATTCTCAAATGCAGCTAACAAGATAGCATAAAACGGCTTTTCTAAAAATGCAGCTGAAGCAGAAATTTGCTCTAAAACTGCCACATCCATGAAGCAGGGAAAAAACCACCAGAAATGGCTTGATGCCAGATCTATAAATGCACCAGGTGTGCGTCAAGTGAGCTGCTGGCGCAAAACTGCGTTGGCATGACATCATCCGCTGAATTTCCGCGTTATTTCGCAATGAAGGGGAGCATCCCATTTTTCGTCATCACTGTACAGGCTTTCTTGCTCCTAATCGACGCTTCTAGGAAAGATCAGCCTCACGTACGGCGCGCTGTTTGGCCCTAGATTTCCAAACTATGATCAGCCAACTTGTCTGTAAGGATTTCCATGCTGATCACAAAATCACAACTAACACACATAATGAAGCCACTCTATAGGATTACAGTTTGTGCATGGTAGGGGGCACAATGAAAGAAATGCTTTGAATGGGTTACGTGGTGCGTACTCGCAGTTTCCGTGCTTCTGCGGATTTCCTGCATTGCGGCAGAGTACGCATGCCGCTCACTCAAAGTCGTAGGGTCCCGCAGCGAATATGCGCTTCGCCTTGGCGGGAACTGTTCCACTCGTTCAAATTTTGCCTTAAAGGCAGTGTCCGGGCAAAAACTCGATTTTGAGATTTTGTGCTTACCTGTGGCCGTATTCATCAACGAACCCCGAGGGTTAAACTAACCCTGGAGGGTTAATTTAACCCTGGAAAGCGTTTAACCCGTATTCATGAAACACAGGGTAGGCTTAACCCTGAGGGTTAAATCTAACCTTGAGGGTTAGTTTTACCCCGAAAGCGACTAACCCGTATTCATCAAGGAATCGTGAGGGTTAAACTAACCCTGGAGGGTTAAACTTACGTGATTCATCAGGGTTAATTTAACCCTAGCTTAGAGCAGGGTTAACTCTACCCTAACACTTCATACAAACATTTACTCGCATTTGATAGTTTTATGGAAAACGATCAACGAGTGTTGTAGTGTTTAGTGTTAGTTGTTGTTATAGTATTTAGTTTCGACTTCATTTTATGTTCAGATTCAAAGTACATAAAACACTGACTTTGCGAGAAGAAGAATTCTAGTTTTGGTGACAAATGAATGCAACGAGGAAAAATGGTTGCGCATTCCACTCTAACGAGTGCCAAAACAGAAGAATTCCTTTAAGATAATACGCATTGACCCTTAAAAGAGTAGTACAAGCCCGGTATGAAACGAACTGCGCAAGAGTAGAACTTACACGGCACAATTGCACTCATGAAAATAAACTCACGCTGTAAGATTGGATGCTGCACAAATATGCTAGAGACGTATTATAAAAACCAGTGTTAGAAGCTCATTCGTTGATTATACTACTATAACAATGAAAGAGTAGAAGTATAAAGTGAATTTAGCACGTACTTAGGCATTCCGTCATGTGAGTTTGCACAGCGCACGCGTAACTAACGCCTTAATCCTCCAGGGTTAGTTTAACCCTCAGGGTTCGGAATACGGCTACAGGTTCGCTGATCGATAAGGGTGGATTGCGTTCCGTGGTGAACCCTACCCTATGTTTGATGAATACGGAAAATGAACCCTGAGGGTTAAACTTACCCCCAGGGTTAGTTTAACCCTCAGGGTTCGTTGATGAATACGGCCACTGGGCCTATTCGCTACGCTGAATCCGAAAATGTACATTGTAGAGCGCGAAAATGGCGAAAAAAGGTTCTAACACGGGAGGAAAATCAGCAGGTGGGCGGAGTCCTCCCCACTGCGAATTCACGTTCCCGGCTTCCGGAGCGACCTTCTCGCTTCCGGTATCAAGTCAATCATTCGCACTTGACCGGTAGCGATGTTAGGACGGCTAGCGGAATCGAGAAAATCGCTCCGGGAGCTGGGAGCGTGAAGTTGCAATGGGGAAAACCCCGCCCACCTGCTGATTTCCCTCCTGTGTTAGAGCCCTTTTTCGCCGTTTTCGCGCATTCCAATGTGGATTTTCGGATTCAGCATGGCGAATTGGCCCGTTTAAAGACAGTGTCCGGGCAAAAACTCGATTTTGAGATTTTGTGCTTACTTGGGCCTATTCGCTACGCTGAATCCGAAAATGCGCATTGTAGAGCGCGAAAATGGCGAAAAACGGCTCTAACACAGGAGGCAAATGAGCAGGTGGGCGGGGTCCTCCCCACTGCGAATTCACGTATCCGGCTTCCGGAGCGACCTTCTCGCTTCCGGTTTCAAGTCAATTATTCGCACTTGGCCGGTAGCGATGTTAGGACGGCTAGCGGAATCGAGAAAATCGCTCCGGGAGCTGGGAGCGTGAAATCGCACTGGGGAAAGCCCCGCCCACCTGCTGATTTCCCTCCTGTGTTAGAGCCCTTTTTCGCCGTTTTCGCGCTTTCCAATGTGGATTTTCGGATTCAGCATGGCGAATAGGCCCGTATAAGCACAAAATCTCGAAATCGAGTTTTTGCCCGGACACTGCCTTTAAAGGCAGGGGATCGGCAAAACACAACAGCTCAGGTTTTCAACGCGATAGGTTTTTTATCGCCCAGGTATGAAAACGGTGCAATCCTGTTTGCACAGCATGCCTTCCCTGCCGAGAAAATGGCTCTCAAACTCACACGCGCAGGCCAATCTTACACGCTCCAGGGCGAGTTGACAATTTCCTCCTCACCATTGGAGGCTGCCCGCCGCAATGCTATGGTCATTGGGTCCCGCAACGATCCACATCATCAGCCTTGCTCCACTTGTCCAATTGCGAAGGGAAGGGCATTGAAAAACGCTTGTTTTCGCTGTTTTCAAGCTCGCAGAAGTGGATTTTCGGGATCAACGTATTGAATAACCCGAGGTAAGCGAAAGAACTAGGTTGAGATTTGCCGAGCCACTGCCTTTAAAGGCAGTGTCCGGGCAAAAACTCGATTTTTAGAAAATCCACTGGCCGGGGGTTATCCCAACGCTGAATGCGAAAATCCACATTAGAAGTCGCGAAATCGGCGAGAACATGCGTTTGTCAAGGCCCTACAATTTGAAATCCGATGGTGCCCGCCAAGGCTGAGACGCAGAATCGCTGCGGGACCCTACAATTTTGACTGGCGACATGCGTATTCTGCCGCATAGCAGGAATTCAAACAGGTCGGAGGGCCCCGCCCTAAGGCGTAAGTTATACCTTCGATAGTCTAGAAAGAGGACGTCAAAAGTGAAGGTTGTCTGCAGGGTCAAGCAAGGGGTGTGGCACACGATCGCTGTATGACCCCCCCCCCCCCTGATTGGTGTCTTAATAAGACCCCCTTCTGAACTATACACTTAAGATAGCATTACTTGAAGGCCCTGTCCAACATAATGGGCAACATATCCATAATTAGCATCTCGATTAACCCCTGTAGACAAAGTGTGAGCGAATTCTGAAGATTCAAGATACTAGGCTACCTAAGTGAAATGGTTGAATTCCAACATGGTTAACTTTGTCTCAAAGGTGAATTAGCTTTCCGTTTTTGTACTCAAGACAAAGCACTACTCCTTCCTTGTTCACCTCAGGAATCTCGCTTCAGAAGACCTCCAAACTATGGAATTAGAAGCCAACCAAAATCTCGTTTTTTCCATTTTTCGCTTTTGATCGCTGTGGTTTCACCAAATATTACTCAGAGCTAAGAAGATGAATCAGGCGCAAAACAGTCCTATGGAATCTACAAGGTTTAGGCTATCGATTCATATAAATACTGTCCGCTGAAAATGTTTTTTAATATAGTTAATGGGGGCACACCCCTTAAAAGCTGCGGCCGCCGCAGCTTTTAAGGGAGTAATATTTAGTGAAAGCACAGCGATCAAAAGCGAAAAATGGGAAATACGAGATTTTGGTTGGCTTCTAATTCCAAAGTTTGGAGGTCTTCTGAAGCGGGATCCCTGAGGTGGACAAAGAAGAGGTAGTGCTTTGTCTTGAGTGCAAAAACGGATAGCTACTTCACCTTTGAACCAAAGTTAACCATGTTGGAATTTAACCATTTCACTTAGGTACCTAGCCGTGGCGTACTTAAGATTTCCGTTCGAGGGGGGGGGGGGACAAAAAAATTTTACTAATGAGGGTGCGTGGCGTCAGTCACGCACCCAGAAAAATTTTTTGGTAGGCTTCTCAAAATTTTCGCGGGCCCATAACCCCAAAATTTCAGAAAAAGGGGGAGTAGCGCCAGCCACGCCCCCCGAAAATTTTTTTTATAAGGCTAATTTGAATTTTTAAAAAATTTTAAAAGTAATTTTAATTATTTACAATTATAAACGAGTCATTTGCACATTTTTATAACCCATATAAGTAATTTTCAAAAATTTCGCGACCCATTCTCGGTGGGGAGGCGCCCCCCCGCCTCCCCTCCTCGGTACGCCACTGGTACCTAGTCTCACATGCTAATTATGGATTTGATACGAATATCATGTTATCGCTATTATCAGATTACCCAACTACGACCCCCTCCCCTTTTGACTCCTCAGTACGACCCCCCAGGTGTGGCTTGCCACACCCCACGCTTGACCCTGGTTGCCTGAGTATCCCCCATAAAAAGTGAAAGTTGTTTATAGGTAAAGAAGGGAAGAAGATGCAAAACAATTAGCGAGAGCAGAAGAAGCTCTTGAAAACCTAACGAAACGCCGCAATCATTTTGAAATTTTTTCGTTTGCGGCATTTCGATTTGCAGGTTTTCGCTTCAGGACCGCAGTTCAAAACATGGGGAAATCGAGGGAAAACTAGTTTCTTCTAAGTGATTGTTTCAATAATAAACATATTTTGGAAGTGATGATTACCAAGAAGGAA